CTCTGCTAGGCCTAGCTAGGCCTAGCTAGGCTGATTATAACTAACCATGGTTAGATTTGGTTTGGTTTCTGGTTGGTTAAACTGTGAATTTTAACTATTTTAACCTTACCATTCCCCCTCTAGGGGGCCCTTAATAGGGGCCTTACCAAGCATGCCTATATAAAATTATTAATTTTATATAAAATATATGGTATCTATGACCATTCTAATCTATATTAGAAATATTGATTTAATATCTATAGGATTGAATGGGTGGTGGTTAAAAATCATTCTTTAACTATAGTAATTATCGGAGGTTGATATACATATGTACATATAAACCACCACCACTTTTATACCAACCTATGACAGATATGATTATTCCCATATATCTCAATAACCACTAGGTATTTTCTAATAATTTTAATATCATTAGATAGCTTGAATTAGGGGCTATCTAATGATATTAGAATTACTAGAATATCTATAGAATCCAGTGATTTCTAGGTAAAACAGTGTGGGTTAGTTAAATGGGTTGGTTAAAACCGCAAAAACTGTAACCAGCAGTTTTAACTAAACCTGAATCGGTTCCACCCCATAGAAACTGAAACTGGTGCAATTCCCTAGGCTAGGAACCGACCCCGCACTGCTGCGAGTTCGGTGAGGGTTGGTTGCGATTTTTGCAGGTCGGTTATGCAACTCTAGACGGGAAGCCCTGTTTTCCACACCCTATGGTCATATGTGCTTGAAAGAAAGGAGTTGGAGATGATATCTAATCATAATCAATACAAATCTCTACCATAGTTGTGTTATCATCTAGATGGGAGTAAAGCTGCCTCTTGCACACAGCGGTAGTGGCCCTCGTGGTGGTACAGGTAACTCCTTTCGGCATCCATAGAGTGCCAGTATAGTCATAGTCTGTTTCTCTTGGCTGCAAGAGGTTTTTCTGACACAGGCCCACAGCATTCTCAGGGTTCTACGTCATGGAGTTGAAACCATTCCCAGACCCAGTTCCTCCCCGACCTGCGTGGCATAACTTCCTATCTAATCACCTTTCTCTTGTGCTCGATTCTTGGTTCCGACGATCTCAACTTTAAAACCAAAAGAGGACTAGCGCATCGTCTGTGCCCAATCAGGCGATGACATCATCAGCTGCTTGCTTGCCCCTTGCTGTCTCTCTCTCTCTCTCTCCCTCTTCCTCCTGTCTTCCTGTCTCGCTCTTTCGCGCTCTGTGTCTTAGGTCTTATCTCTTGTGGATATCGCTCCCTATAATTATCCCTGGTATAAGAAGTACAGTCTGGCCATTCTAAGTACCCAACATGGGATGCAGTTGATATCATCAGACATTCTTTCCACTGCATTTATTATCCTCGCCCCTTAGGCTCAACCGCGGACCGCCCGACCTCGGTTCCGGTTCCTGATATACACCCCAAACAGAAGGGACTCTGACTCTCGCAACGTCTCGTCCACCGACAGTCACGTCATGACACTGAATACGGTCGCATTGGGTGTCTCCCTTACACCTACCGTCGTCGCGACTTTGGTCTCTCATGTACGTATCGCTAAGCATCTTCTCCACCCGTTCACTGACAGCCTGAGTTGATAGTATCTGCATCGGAAATCCCGTCGCACGAAACCCACCGTCCACATCTCCTACGACGAGGCTATCCAGGTCATTCGTCAATTCCTCAACTATGCTGCCAAACACACGGTTGAGGATATCCAGGCCTTCACAGCTCAACGAGTTCCCGCCCCTCATTGGGTTAAGACAACCAAGGTCCTCATTCCAGAGCAGTACCTCTCCTCTGCTGCGACCGCTCTTATCAACCAGCTTGGTCCGAAAGGTATAGCGCGCGTGGGGGGAGAGAAATGGTGGCAATGGCGTGGACCGTCGGACGATCTCAGAGGAGAGTGGATCGAGATGAAATCGGACTACCAGGAGAGGGAACGCTCGAACAACCATCCGAGCGGGAAGCGCATCATGTTATATCTCCACGGCGGTGCCTACTTTTTTGGCAGTGTGGAGACCCATCGGTATCAATTGCAGCGTCATGCTAGAAAGCTCAAGGGACGAGTATTTGCACGGTACGATGGCCCCTCTTCTATTTAACAATATACTAATTGCGTAGTGAGTTACGCCCAGTCATAGAAGGTAGAATGATAGCTAAAACCTACGAATAGCGGAATATCGTCTGGCACCGCAGTTTCCCTTTCCCTGCGCCCTACAGGACTGTTTGGCGGCTTATTTGTTCCTTCTCAACGAACACGATCCGACAGAGATCATCTTTGCAGGAGACTCCGCAGGGGGGGGCATGGTGCTTTCGTAAGTGTCATATCTACTGCTCTGGAGATGCACTAATTTGGGCAGGATATTGGTCACCATACGCGACCAAGGACTACCTTTGCCCGCCGGAGCGATCCTGATCTCGCCCTGGGTGGATCTTACACATTCTTTCCCCAGTGTGCTATCGGACTGTCCAGGTGACTATATCCCACCGAGTGGGTTCCGATATAAGCCCTCCGCAGCCTGGCCGCCTCCAAACGTGGATGAAATTCGCGCGCTCAAGAACGCAAAGCAGAAATCCCCAGAGAGCGCCGCGGAGGAAGCCGTGCCAAAAGAGAACAGCCAGGCTCAAGAGACAGCAGTGAAAGGGTACACAGTCGAGAAGGACGGGTCAGGTCGGACAGAACCTACTCCGCCGGTTCATCAACGTGCAGAGGATGACGAGACCAAGGTCGTCCAAATCCCTATTGACGGTCAGACAGTCGAACTCAAAGACCAGATTCAAATGTACGCACCGAATCACCTCATCTCTGACCCACTCGTCTCTCCGGTACTCCAACCGTCGCTTGGCGGTCTACCCCCACTGCAGATCCTCGTCGGGGGAGGCGAGCGGTTGAGGGACGAGCAGTTTTACACTGCTCACAAAGCCGCGAATCCGACAGCATACCCACCAAGTGACAAGACACTTGACGAGTATGATCCGAAACGTGAAACCTTACACAAATATCCTGGTACGCATGTCCAGTTGCAGGTATGGGACGATCTCTGCCACGTTGCCCCGACCCTTAGTTTTACGCGTCCGGCCAAGTACATGTACCGATCGATTGCTCAATTCGGTGCCTGGGCTCTTGCATGTTCTCAGACTTCTGAGATTGCCATCCTCGACGATAATGATATCTCCCCCATCACCTCCTCCAGTGAAACAGACAGTCGCGAGGCAGCGACCAAGGGCGAGAATAAGGATAGCCCAAGACCGCCCGTTGCGTCCGTCGGCAAGGCTGGTGATCCACTGCCCGTATTTAAAGATCATATGATCCGCCAAAGAGTCGACAAAAGAGGTCGTATATATCCGCTCGATCCCCCTTCCTCCTATTCCGTCCTAGAATTCCCGCGGGATCAGATCGGCGTACCGAACCCGGAACTGGTCCGGAAATGGATGGCTGCAAAGGAGGAGTGGGATATCAAATTTGCCAAGATCAAGCTGCGAGTGCAGAAACAGCGGCTGGAAGAACTGGCCCACGGATTCCAGGACTTTGAGGGGGATACTCCTCCTCCAAGCTCCTTGGCGGCAAGAAGACTGGCTCCGGGTGTATTGCCCCAAAAAGGCGCAAAGGATCGGAAGAGCTACCAGATGACGATGTGGAGTCGGATGGCTAGCAAGCATGACAAGAAGACCCTCGCGAGAGAACAACACAGGCAGATGGAAGAGGGTCGTTCGAGGCTGACGAGTGTTGACGCTGGACCAGCAGGGGCGTCCATGGATAGACCGAGATCTCAAGATCATGTTGAGTCGTTTCCGACCAAGGATTCTAATAAGAACGTACAAGCCTATGGAGGGAAAGCACAGGAGGGTCTGCGAGAAAAGCAGGAACCATCTAACGGTGCTGAACACGATACCAACCGATCTGAAATCTCGCGTCCGGCATCATCGAATTGGGCAAAGTCCGACAATCCTATGATCGTTTTGCCCAATTATGAAAGCAGGCAGTTCAACGCAGATAATGCCAGCACAACGACTTTGCTACATGCTGCTGGAACTATTCCCGCTCGATCGGAACAGCCTCGGCCTGTCTCTCAGGCCGGTTCCGGGACGATTCGCAGCGCCATGACCGCCGACCGAGAAGATGCCAGTACCATTGATGATGCGAGGTCACTAGCTGTGACCACGATAACCGTGCACGACAATGCGAGTACCCGGGCCGTCCGTAATTCCACCGGGGTAGTCGGCGTGGTCAAAGATAGGAATTCGACTAATGGTTCTGTCGAGACGTTGTCTGCGCCTAGACCGTCTGGGGATCTGGAATCTTTCCATTCGGCCAATGCGAATTCGGACGCCGATGCTCATTCTGTCCGTGCTCGTCCGAATATGCCTGATCGGGAGGTGTTCAAAACCGCAGATGAACATCTCTGATTCTAATATATATGGCCTTTATATAACACTGTGTTGTATACCACTGGCCTATTACCCAATGATTTGATAAGTCTATATAGCTCTGAGATTCCCAATACAGATATTCGACATGAGCATCCTGAAAAGGCTACATTCATACGCGGTAGTGCTTCTGTTGACACTGTAGTGAATATCTCTAAATATTCCTGCTTTATAGCCTTAGATCAGTATGCTCATTCATTATAGTCATTCACTATGTATCGGCTCTCTCCAGACCGATTCACTGCCCTAACTCAACGCTGTCTTTCTCCCCCTCCTGATCTTCTGTCTTGCTCCCGCGCTCCCCATCTCCGCTCTTTCTGTTCTTCTCTCCTGCACACAGATAGCATCAATCCAAGCTACTCTCTGCGCTTGTCTCTCGATACACCGAGTGCAAACTACTGCAGCGTTCTGTTTCTGATCACGACGAAATTCTGGTGAAGAACACTCCGAACTTTTGTCTACTCAGGGCAAGAGACCTCCAAGCCACAGGAGCTTGATACATTCACGAGATTCTCGGACAATTCTTTACGTCTGCCAGCGGAAGCCATGGCACGGACCTTCATAGACCAGGTCCTTTCTGCAGCAATGAGAGAAGTTCGGAAAGAAATAGTCCGCGTCGCCTGTGATAACGAGATCCTCCTCTGGTCGAGAGAGCGTCACTTCCAAGTCGTGTCTCCATCGTCAGATAGAGATGCTCTTCGTCCAACGCCATCACCTACGCCCAAGAACTACGCAATGGCCCTGCCAAAGACATTGTCAATACAAAGATGGCTGCCATCCAGGCCGCAACGAAGATCCGTGACAAACATTACCCACCTGTGGCAAATCCAACGACTAAGAATGAGACTCCCCCCTCAAATTGAGTTCGACGACTCCGACGACGAAGTTGACGAGTTCAGTGGCATCGATCTGGAAGACTACGTCGCATGGTGCATGGAACGACATACCACATGGCGTGCCATTAAGATTCTAAACCGTCGATCCGACAGGCGATTATTTGAGCGGGGAGATGATGCGCCCCATCAGGCTGCTTCGACAGGAGGCTTCAGTATCTTGCGAGCCTGAAGGGGATTCGTTGACCTGCTCCGAGACAGGGCGCGCAGCAGTCAGGGTGAGGATCCCTCCAGTGGTCAAACTAGTGAAGAAACCGGGTGACCAGTCCATCCCTTTTTGCGTTTCCCGTCCCCTTTAACCTGGGGCCGCTTTTTCTTCTGGAGACTTCGCGCCCTCGTTGCGAAAGACTCACCGACTGGCTAGACAGCCTCAAGAGGTCAAAACTACTGAGCGAGCTGATACTATGCAATGGTTACAATGATCAAGGGGAGCACTGCTCGGAACGGTGCTGAATGGCTGGCACCCTGCAAGTTTGGTCAGAGATATCCTCAGCTCTGGAGATGGGTCGTGTTGCCTCACTGGCAAGGTCGTGCCTTGTTCACTGGTTTCCGCGCCAATTGCCTAAGGAGCGGCAAGTCTGCAGGGTACTCTATCATCTCAGCAAGAATTGGCCATGTGCTCTACTGCTGGAAGAGGGTGCAGTTGACTCATGGGCTTGCAAGAACGAGTATAACTAACTGGGGTAGTTCGATAGACATTGCCATGATGAATGTTGGGCAATGTTGGGCCGGCTGCTACCCACTTCAGGATCTGACTACAATGATGCTGAAATGAATGAGGGTCAAGGTTGTTAGTTGCCTTACCTGAAGCTGCCAGGGCAGGTGTTTCACACCGTCACTGGCCTCCTTTATTCCGGTATGTATATGCTGACTTGGGTGAACAAAGGTACAGATGGATGCTGATCCAGTCCCAGCCTCAATCAACAGACATTCTACCCGATCATGATAGCCGCCATGCGACGACATGGCTAATGAAACCAAGTACATGGACAATGCGATGTCCCAACCGCTTCCCACACCAGGGAGCTACGCCGACAGGGCGGGGAAACCAGGCAACGACGAGAACTGGAAGCTTGTCGAACCAATACTGCATGACACACCAAGGGGGCGGAAGCATAAGATAAATTGCACGGCACGGTCCTTCCTTTGAATTGGTTTAACCATCAGATAAAGCTGCTCATACCAGCTGATATCCCTCCGCTTCACAAAACAGTATGCCTGAGTACCATATTCCACGATGATCATCCGATACCTTGTGAAGTGCTCTGTTTGGCAACTATATACAACCTCAGCCACGTCGCTTCAATTGTGAGGGTAAGTCTGGACCAGATGACCATCGCTCAACGGATGCAGGCGATGTGATAATCCTCGTTCACTACTGCCTACAACGGAATCTAGCCATAGAACATGCTCATTTAAATTTAAAAAGGGCTGGCAACAGACCTGGCAATGCTATTTAGCTGACTCTGGACTAATCTGAAATACACTCTTAACTGGCAGTCTACCAGTCCGCACACATGCCCGTGAACTTGTCAAACACCGAACCAGGCGAGCACTCGGGAATTCCTGTCGGAGGGCAATACTCAAAGTTCATGCAGTCACCCGACGCCAGAGCACACTGCTTGCCGTTGAAGACCTGGCCTGGTGGACAAGCAGGCCGCTCAATAGAAAGACACTCCTTGGCCTTCTTGCTGTAGACGGTGCCAGGCTGGCAAACGGGGTCCTTCTCCGCGACACATTTCTTGCCGTTGAACCGCATCCCGGGCGGACAGGTCGGTTCCTCGGGGTGCGCGCAGTCCTCGCCGTCGAACTCCAGCCCGGGTCCGCACTCAGGCACAGAGCCAACGCAGTTCTGACCATCGAAGTGCGTGTTGGTCGGACACTCGGGCTTGCGGTCGGAAACGCACTCCCCGTTGAGCAGGGTGTAGCCTGGCTCGCACTCCGTGGTGACGAGGCTGATGCAGCGTCCGTTTGTCCACTTGTGGTCGGGCGGGCACTCCGGGTCCTTGGGGCTGACGCACTGCTTGCCGTCGAAGACGGTGCCCTTGATACAGGTGGGGACGCCGACGATACAGCCGCCGGCGACGAGGGTGGAGCCGGGGGCGCAGGCGGGGATGAAGCTGGTGACGCAGTCGCCGTCGCCGTTGGGGACCGAGCCGGCAGGGCAGGTCGGCTTGACGGTGGAGACGCAGCGGGTGCCGTCGAAGGTGGTGTCCTCTGGGCAGGTGGGGAAGTGGCCGGAGGCGCAGTCCTCGCCGTTGAAAGTGGCATCGTTATCATCGCACTTGGGGTTGTGTGTGGTGGAGATGCAGTTGGTGCCGTCGAAGGCGAAACCTTCTTCGCATTGGGGGCGGGAGAGGCTGACGCAGAGACCGGCCTCGAATTTGGTGTCGGGCGGGCAGCTTACGTGGACAGAGGAGATGCAGTTTTCGCCGGAGAGGATCAGGCCAGGTGGACATTCGGGCTTCTCGATGAGGGTGCAGGTGGAGCCGTCGAGGATGTAGCTGGGCGGGCATTCGGGGGGTTCGGTCGACACGCAGCGGCTGCCCTCGAGTCTGGATTTGGGCGGGCAGGTTGCGATCTTGATCGACTGCTTCTGACAGAACTTGCCTACGAGCGTCATTCCGGGCGGGCATTTGCCGCTCTCGTCGACTCCTATCACGCAGACTTCGCCATTCCATGTCATCGCCGCGGGGCAGCAGCGAGCGGTGCCGGAGGCCACGTCGAGCGAGAGGTCACTTCCGGGGGGGCAGCTGGCTGACTCGGACAGCACGCATTTCTTGGTGACGGGATCCAGCTCGGAGGTTGGCGGACAGGCGGGTTTGGCGGTCGTGGTGCATTTCCCGGTGGTGGGTTGGAATGTACTGCCCTCGGGACACGAGGGCTTGATATCGGATACGCACATGCCGTCCTTGACGCGGCTGCCTTCCTCGCAGGACGGTCCAGAGACGGAGACACACACCTTGAGTGTCTCATGGTACTCCGTGCCTGCGGGACAGACGGGGGGACGATCGCTGATGCAGTGTCCGTCGTGGAATGCCAACCCTTCGGGACACTCGGGTTTCTTGACGCTGACACAAGTCTTGCCATTGAAGCTGTAGTTTTCGGGACATCTGGGACTCTCCTTCGACTGGCACACTTTGCCGTTATACTCGAGATTAGACGGACAGGTGGGAGGCCCAGTCACGCAGGACTTGCCCTTCCGTACGGTCGAGGGTGGACAGACTGGCTCTGAGGTGGAGATACAGACTTTGCCGTCGTATTCGCTGCCGTCAGGACAGATGGGCTTCACGGTGGACACGCACTTGTCTTCTTTGCGGATGAAGCCTTCGGGACAAGTGGGTACCCCAAGCACGCAGGCCTTGCCATCGAATTCTGTTCCGTCGGGGCAACACTTGACCAGGCCGGAAGAGGGATCGGTCAATGGCCGGATATCGTCGAGGGTGTACTTGGACTTTCGGAGGGGGGACTGATTGGCTTGAGCCTGGACAGAGAGTGCCAGGACAAGTGCCCAGAGGGACTTTGTTTTGACCATGACGGGTATTCAGTGCAGAAAGGAGATAAGGAGAGAAAGATGAGAGGGATGATGATCGAGAAACTGATAGAGCTGTGAACTGCCGCTCTTTATAGCAGTTCACGGGGACTGAGATGTCGACCGCATCTCTGCATATCAGGCTAGGTATTACACCTCCGTGTTCAGCTCTTCGAATGAATCATCCACTGGCTGCGCTCCTTAGTGCGGAGTAACTAAGATCATCGCGGCGATTCCGGTCTTTTGGATAGCCACAGAGCCCAGCTTTCCATGCGCTGGCGCTACTGATGTAAGTCTCCCAACGAGGGGTATTGCTACGGCTGGATGGAGTTAGAGTGCGAACAGACCACCGGATTTCTGCATGATTGAGCCACTGTTCCACTTACAAGAGGGGGACTGTGGGCCGAGAAAACTTGGAGAGACGACTACTCGTCTAGTGCGACTCAGCTGAATCCTGGGACGCCCATCTGCAAGTCTGCATCGTCTAGCAGAGATAGATCTTAGTTTAATCAATTCCAGCAATGCCATTGGCCATTGAATTAGCAGGGTTGTTTCATAGCTTGGATAGATAGACTTGATGTTTGCTTTTTCTCGGTGTTTATGACAAAGAAATTCACACCTAACTAACTATTACTGCCGGCTGACAAAGAGGATGAGCTAGTTTAATTGACAGAAATGCATTGTGAATTAGAGCGATACTGAAATATCAAGATCCATCAAATGCTACTCCGGGCCAGGCCACGATTCCCGCGATCTGCCATGGTTGGCTGGAATCGGTATAGTTGCCGATCTCTGCAGCATTGACCGATAGTTCACCCATGTCTCAGATGGCTGTCCAATAATAGGCCCTAAGCCAGAGTAGCTGGAACCTCCAAGGTCGATCTTGTCCCAATACCTCATGAACAGTGGGTCGTGAATTCCAGCTATGTTTCCAGCTGGCTCAAGCCTGCAGATATCCCTCTCCGTGCTTAATATCGCTGGTTACGAGGCGCAAATAGCCGATCAACACAACACAGGAACGAGAGAGGTCTCCACTTGCTTGTGGTTTCGGCAATGATCAGCAGTATGCTCTGAATTGGTCAACGCATGGTGAGGTCGTCTCCAGCAATGTAACCTGCGCCACGCAGAGAGAAACTTGAATTGGGTAAATTGCCAAGTATACCGTCTTACCATTGCTAAGAGTTAATGTGGGATGACTGGGCAAGGCTGGTGAATGCCTATAGACGAGATACTGTGGACGTGGCTGGCTGGGGTGGCTTGTCTTATGTAAATCTGTTGGGGTATTGACTGCTGAACAGAATCGTGAAGACCAAAAGCAGATAATGTGTTCGGCAATCTCTTCCACATTCAACCAAATCTCAAGTGGGAGTCAGTGGCGATATGCATGCTGCTCACTTAGGAAGCTTGGGCCCCGTCTTGAGCTGCAGCTAACTGTTCAGCTCACTCATGCAGCGCCACTGCGGGAATGACACAGGTCACCGACAGACGGATCCCCGAGCCGAAGCTCTCGTGGACACCTTGGCTCCTTGCAGCGCTGTCGGTGCTACCGACCAGGTCATTGAACTTACGTCTTAGGTCTTGTCTTCATCGGCTGGCTACCACTTGCGTTCTCGTTCGGACAGACTTGACCCAAGGTGTCGCCAGACTCGGTTATATATCTTTCTAGAGCCCTGCTCCAGGCAAATCTTAGCTCTTTCCTCTGAGAATTTCACATTTCCTTTCAGATTAGGAAACAGACATGCTATTAAAACATTCCCTCCTTTCCCTCCTCTGCGCTCTGGAGGTTGCCTGGGCTTTGGAGCCCTCCGCATGTTTCTCACCCGACGCCAAAGGTAAAGCCGGCTATGAAGCATGTTGTGCCAAGCAGGGCAATGGCAAAGGCACTGTAGGCGGGGTCGTGTTCCAGTATACCTGCCAAACATTCCTGAGGAAAGGCAATGACTATGGCACAGCCCACAGGGGAGTCTCCAGCGCAGGGGAATGTGCCCAGTTATGTGCCGCTGACTCAAGCTGCCTGGCCAGCTCGTGGGGTAGCGCCATATCTCAATGCTTCCTGTTCTCGAGCAAAGGGTACATCCGGTATACCCCCAACCCCGGGTTCCTCATTCTTGAGAAGACGCCCGAGGAGCCGGAGAAACCGGATCGTGCAAAGGACTGCCAGGATCTGGTTGATGCGGGGAAGAAAGAGGGCGAGGCCCAGTGCACCACGGAGAAGGATAAGCTCCGACAGGAGGGAGAAGAGGCTTTGCGTGAATGCCAGAAGCAAAAGCAAGCCGCTGTTGCAGAGTCCAAGACGCAGTGCGCCACGGAGAAGGATATGCTCCGACAGGAGGGACAAGAGGCTTTGCGTGAATGCCAGAAGCAAAAAGAAGCCGCTGTTGCAGAGTCCAAGACGCAGTGTGAGAAGGAGAAGGACGAGCTGCGTCAACAGGCCGAAGGAGCTGCGCAGAAAGAGCGCGAGCAATGCGAGAAAGACAAGTCTCAACTGCGCCAGGAACGTGATGACGCGTTGCAAAAGTGCAAGTCGGACTGTGAGGCGGAGAAGGAACAGCTGCGCCAGCAAGGCACCGATGCAGCAAAGCAGTGCGAGAGCGACAAGGCGGGACTGCAGCAGCAGCTCCAGACCTGCCAGGACAAACAGCAGCCGGCGAAGCCTACCGACACGACCGAAGCCCAGGACCCCAAGTGCCGGGACAACAGCTGGCAAAACATGTGTGGCGGCGTGTGCCAGGAGGAGACCTTCACCCTTGCTGGAGTCGTGTTCAAGAAGAAATGCTTCGTGCGGACTGTCATGGCACAGGAAGTGCAGGTATATCACCGCTCGTCGCTTCTCGAGTGCCTGGAGAAGGACTGTGCTCCCAACAGCAACTGCCTGGGTGTGGGATGGAGGCCATGGGAGGTTGGAGTAAGTTGATCCCTTCTTGCGTTTGCATCCTTTCCATCAAACGTGGCTAATATCAACAGCATTGCCATGTCCACATGAGCATCGGCCATGGTCTTCGTACCGCGTACAATCCCCACGAGCATCTGATCTACGCAAAGGATCGAGTTACGCCTATGGGATTATAAGGTAGAGCCTGAGGGAGTGGTTTGGGTCATGGGTTGTAGGAAGATGCATGGATGATCTCTCTATAACTGCTTCGGAGCTTCAGAATGTCATTGTACGACTGCAATGCGGCATCGATTCTTCATATGCCAAAGGAGTTTACAAGGTACCATCCATGAGATTCAACATTCCGTGCCTAGACAGGTGACTCGCCAGTTGCACAGTGCACCCTATAAAGTATAGCATAAAGCCCTTTGTCTCTTCGGTCGCACTCGACATTTGTATTCCAGAGTCGGGACAGAGGTTAGAATCGTATATTCGGATTTCTGTCCTGAGCTATATGGAGAACCCTGCCAAGGGAGAGGAAGGTCTTATAAGGTGGTCATCTCTGCCTCTATGGCGAAAGGTTAATTACAGAACGTCGCTCCTGTGGCTACATTGCCAGGTAAGATGGGTATCGGGCATTACCCTGTCCTTGCCATTTCCACACCAGCCTGGGACCCGCAAGCACTGTTCCTTTAATATGTCCATCTAACCTACCATGGGGGCCACCGCGGTTAACGTGTCGCAGGTTTTAGCCGAGATAGAAGGGGCGTCAGCATGCAATGGTTCATTTGGATTCGGTGTGTACTTCGGTCACACCACGGACGGAGCCATCCCAGCTAATATCGCAGGCTTGGTTGGGTAGTCCGCGCAGGCACCACGATTACCATAGTACTAATCTCGGCTCTGGTCGACTGATTCATTGCCGAAGACATGAAAATATGAGCTTTAAAAACCGCCAAGATTCTGGGTGTGGCTGAATCTGATATAGTGGCCATGTATCTGAAACATAGCCCGCCACTTTCAGAAACCGTCAACCCTGAAATTCGTATCGGATATTGCCGTTGATTCCCCACTTCTCTTCCAATAGGAGGATGTAGACAGGTGCATGGCTCGTTGTCAGGGTCTTGTATCTATTTCCTCGTCTAGCCAGAGCTAGGCGTACATGTGTGGAGCGCCTTTCAGCACTAGCCTCGACAAGACCCTTAGAGGACCCTTAGAAGACCGACAAGGTCATCCTTTGGATGACTCTAGCCAACTCTGTTCCGGGAAAGCGTCTGGCAGTGTGAAACATTTGGTTTTGTGTTTATTTGGTGTCAACCGAGCTGATAGCGCTGAGATGACGGAGTATATAAGTTAATCCATCAGTGCCGTCACCGTTTCTCTGGCAGGTCAAACTCGTTCATTCTTTGTTGTTATCCTTGTCCTTCATTTCTTCTTTTCATACTTCCATTCTCAGCAAACTAGATTGTTTGCACTTTTCTAAAAAATGAAGCTCACTTCGTCCATTCTTTTCTCGCTTGCGAGCGTCACCCCGCTGGTCTCGGGGCACTATGTTTTCTCCAAGCTCATTGTCGACGGCAAAGCCACCCAGGACTTTGAGTACATTCGCAGAAACACCAACGGCTACATGCCCACCCTTCCCTCCGACATCCTCAGCAATGACTTCCGCTGCAACCAGGGCTCGATGGCGTCCGCCGCCAGTACCAAGGTGTATAAGGTGGCCCCCGGCACGGAGCTCGGCTTCCAGCTTGCCTACGGCGCCCAGATGAAGCACCCGGGTCCTCTACAGATCTACATGTCCAAGGCTCCCGGCGATGTCAAATCATACGACGGCTCCGGCGACTGGTTCAAGGTCTACCAGGAAGGCCTCTGCGCCGACCCCTCCAAGGGGATTGTGGACGAGGACTGGTGCACATGGGGCAAGGATACCGCGTCCTTCAAGATCCCCAAGGACACGCCCGCCGGGCAGTATCTTGTCCGCGTAGAGCATATCGGCCTGCACCGAGGGTTCAGCGGCAATGCCGAGTTCTACTTCACCTGCGCCCAGATCGAGGTCACGGGCTCTGGGTCTGGATCGCCTAGTCCTGTCGTCAAGATTCCCGGCGTGTACAAGCCTGATGATCCGAACGTTCACTTCAACATCTACTATCCCACTCCGACGGCATATGACCTCCCGGGCCCGTCGGTCTGGACTGGCGGCTCGGCAGGAAGCGTCGGTGCCGGTGCTTCTCCTGCCGTCACTGCTACTGTGCCAGCTGTCAATAACAATGCTGCCTCGGCTGCTCCCACCACCATGACGACTGTCACCAAATCTCCCGCCGCACCCACTGCTGGTGCAGGTACGGGTTGTGGTAGCTCTGTTTCCTCGTCCGCTGGAGCCCCCGGTGGAGCCCTCAAGAAATATGCTCAGTGCGGTGGACTGAACTGGACTGGTTCTGGCTCTTGCGAGACCGGTACTACCTGCCATCAGTACAACCCTTACTATCACCAGTGTGTTTAGTCCCGGCCAGTTGGAGCTTCTGGCCAGCGTTGTGGCAATGTGTGATCTTTCTACTCGGCCTTGATGCCTTTCTTTTGACAAGTGGTTTCATTCTTGCATCTCTGTGTGCCTTTTCCATTGTAGATTGTCGCATACCGATGTTAGAAGCAAACCCCCGAACTTGACAGTACAGACTCCCAATTTGCTAGAAGTTAGTGTTTGTAATTCAAGACTCTACCCTTCACCATGGCTAGTAGAAGAGTGTCTCGCAAGATCCGTATCCACCCAGGATTGAGGCTGTTTGATTAAGTTTGATCAACAGGTTCAGAGGATAGAAAACTCTGCAACACTGACGGACGCTCGGACCAAGTACGACCCAGTAGGTATGATTGATAGCTAGTTCACATTTAAGTTGTCTAAATTTAAGCCGGTCCAATCAGTTTACAAGAAAAAACTGGTGGACCTGGTTCCGTTGATGCTCGACTTGGCTCTCGTATACTCGTATACTCCTATATCCTTATACCCCTATGAAATTCGTACATTCGTATCCAGACTACCTTTGGACTCGCCGATAATAGAATCAAACAGAAATTGGAAGTTCTCAAATACTATGGCGGGTAGCCCCAGAAAGTTCATTTCTAGTGTTTCTCTTGAAGCAATCTGTATCAGCTCACATCTGTATCCCAATCCAGCGCCATAGGGCCCAATGGCAGACAACGGCTTTGTTTACAAACTATACCGCTATGTTCCTTCAATCCCAGCTGCTGCAGTCACGGCAGCAGTCTTTGGTCTCCTGGCCATTGGGCATCTCTATCGCATCGTCAACCACAAGGCGTACTTCTTTGTCCCTTTCATCATTGGTCTTCTTTGTATGTCTTCACAGATTGCCATCGTCGTCATCATCATCATCGTCGTTATGATAATGAAAAGCTGACAGTTCGAAGTTGAAACGGCAGGTTATATTGCTCGGATCTTCTCCCACTCTGATCCAACCGCCCTGGGTCCATATATCGTCCAGACCATGTTGATCCTCGTCGCGCCCCCATTGTTCGCCGCCTCCATCTACATGACTCTTGGACGAGTGATCCTGGGGCTGGAAGCGGAGCCAGCCTCGCTGATTCGAGTACGCTGGCTGACCAAGATTTTTGTCGTGGGCGATGTCATTTCCTTTCTGTTGCAGTGCGGAGGTAACACCCCTTCTCCTGTCCGTCCATGGCACCCAGGAACTAATCTTGATGTGTCACAGGGGGCGGATATATGGCGGCGGGCACACGCGACGCAATGGAGACGGGGGAGCACATCGTCATCGTCGGTCTCGCAATCCAGCTACTCTGGTTCGGCCTCTTTATCGTCGTCGCATCGCTGTTCCACTGGCGTGTCATCCACCATCCAAAGTATACCGTCTCCAAAGACCTCAAGTCCCAGGGCTCAGGGATCTCCTGGCCGACCCTCATGTGGGCCCTTTACGCTGCCTGCGTGCTAATCCTGGTCCGCTCCGTCTTTCGGGTGATCGAGTTCGTCCAGGGCAATGCCGGTTTCATCATGAGCCATGAGTATCTCCTCTACGTCTTCGACGCGGTTTTGATGGCGCTGACTGGTCTTGTGCTCGGTCTCGTCTTCCCGGGATCGTTTGTCTCGCGCCGGTCGCGATGGGCCGAGGATGCAATTCCTCTTAGTAGTCAGCTGTGTAGGTGATTTGGCTCATTTGGGTCCGGCGTATCGGTCCACGTGCTGGTCTATTTCTTGGAGTGACGTTATTGTTTCATCTATAGACTCCTGGTTAAGCGAGGGACTTCCCAGCGATAAATCAAGCAATACAGAAGATATTTAACGGCTCGGTCTTACTTCGTATGTATTTCGGAACATTCCCGTGTTCTCCTCTGAGGCTCCGATAGGGTCATAGGAAGGATCCACCGGAGACCCTGACCTGTTTAGCTTTATCCTGCCGTTGTAGCAACATGAAACCACTAGTCTTAGCCATAGTCGCTGACGACCCTGAAAGTGGACATGGTGAGCTGTGGTCTGATGAATGTCGGTACTCAAACTCTCGCAAGATGCCGTAATTAGAGAAAAAAGCAGGTATCTCTTTCACAAGCTTCTGTTACCTATAGATGAGACCCACAAGCTGTCTACCCACAATTAAGGGTCTCTAAGGGTCTCTCATTTCAGGGACCAAATGACGGATTTCGCGGCAGCGGTTCAACGTGACAACTATTTAAGCAGGCTAATCCGCCGAGGAATGTGCTGAAGAAAGACAAACTCGCATCATCGTTCCCAAAATGGTCACTTTCAGCCGCCTTTTGTTCTTCCTCCCTGTTCTCGGGGCGCTGGCCGTGCCCTCAGATCCCACTACCCAGCCCGCCATCGAGGCCAGCAAGTCCTTCAACTTCCTCCAGCACATGGGAGAACTCATCTTCAATGCCACTGATGGAAACCTCGAACGCCGCGACACCACGTTCAGCACCAGCAAAGACGGCGTGAACGCCGCCGGCTACTACTACTCCCTGTACAACGACAACCACGCCGGCGCCGGCTACACCGAGAACCCCAACAGCGGCCACTTCAAAGTCGGCTGGAACCTGCCTTCCCGTAGCGAGTTCCTTGGCGGAAAGGGCTTCCGCGGTGGCAGCACCCGGTAAGCAGTTATCCTCTTTATCAGTTCCTGTCTTTATAACTAATATCCAGCAGCACCCTCAAGTGGGACGGCCACTTCTCCGCCAAGGGCGACTACACCCTCGCTGTCTACGGCTGGACCACCAACCCCGTCACCGAGTGGTACATCGTCGAGGCGCACGGCACGGGCACCCCGGGCAACGGCCACATCCTGGGCCAGGTGCACGCTAACGATGGTATCTATGACGTCTACATGCTCCCCTACCGTAATGTGCCGGAGATCTACGGTACCAAGAACTTCAACCAGCTGTGGTCGGTTCGTCGGTCCCATCGTACCACTGGCACAGTCGATGTCACGGCGCATTTCAACCGCTGGAAGCAACTGGGGTTGCAGCCAGGGAATCCGGTCTTTCAGATGGTGACGGCGGAGGGGTTCCAGGGGAGTGGGTACCTCGATTTTACTCTGCATTAAAAGCCTTGTTTGGAATAAGTGTGTAGCTGCATAATTGTTTACAAATAGCTCTTCCCTGGTGGATGCGTGAGAAAGTGCACCATTGATATCACAAAGACTGAGGGAGGGATGGTAGAGTCCAAAGACTGCCTTAGCATTATAATATAATGTATTCATTATTACAGTTTCATATATATTGTCGTAGTGTAGTGTGCCTGTAGAGCTGTAGGCGTAGTATATATATAGTATATATAATGTCTTGGCGCTACGGATGAAGCAAACGGAGCAAACTCACTTCTTTTGATTACGAGCTATACCGACTCCATTCAGCCCTTGCATCGCATCAATCAGCAAGTGGCGATAGTGGCACAATGGCAACGGACAGCCAGTCCGACAGAGCCACCCGTAAAAGAATACGAGCTAGGCACAGCAAGTCGCGCAAAGGGTGCTTTACCTGCAAGGGTCGCCGAGTCAAGGTCCGTATTCCGTATTCCGTATTCCACTGCCTAGCTAGCACGACGGCGACGCTCACACCTCCCAGTGCGACGAAATCAAACCAACATGCGGTGCTTGTGCCTTGAGAGGCGAGCCTTGTGACTGGCCCGCCGAGACTGGCTCCCAAGGGCACGACACGCCGGGTCGGTCACAGGCTGGCTCCGACCGAACTGGCCGCGCTCAAGCACGCCGAGATCAACCCAAGAGCGGGCCGTCACCGCACGCGTTGCAGTTTGACATCGGCGCATCAGATCCAGCCGGTGGAGGTTGGACTCCCCGCCCCGGGCAGTTGAACATGGTTGATCTGCAGCTCCACGCGCATTTCATGCTGCACACCTCCAAGCACATGTCGCTGAACCCGCGCCGGCAACGCATCTGGGAAACCGTCGTCCCCCGCTTCGCCATGCGGAACGAGGCCCTCATGCACCTTCTTCTCGCCCTGGCGGGGCTGGATTACGCCTCGGACTGGACGGCCGACCAGCAACTGCCACGCGTGTCTCCCGACATGGAGAGCCAGCCCTCGCCGGCCATCGGAGACCCCGAGCACGACCACACCCTGGACGCCGCGTACCTCCAGATCATTGTCGAGCACCACCAGCGCGGGCTGGAAGCGTTCCGGACGGAGCTCGCGAACCTATCTAGTGCGAATCTCAACCTCGTGTTCGCGGGCTCGTTGATGCTGGTCGCGTTTGCGCTCGCGTCCCTCCGCATTCGCAACCTGAGCGATGCGCACTCGCAACCGGGCCAGCCGCGGCTCGACTGGATCTTCCTCATCCAAGGCCTGTGCACCGTGATCAAGCAGAACTGGCCCGAGCTGCGCATGGGCCCCTTGAGAGACATGACGCAGTACAGCTACGCGAATGACGACTGGCGAATGTATCCGCGGGACGCGCTTTGCTCTGTCTCTGTTTCCGTGCGGCGAGGATGCTCGCCGCGTCTGTTGGCGTTCTACCGCGGCGCGGACGACGCCTTGACACAGCTGGTTGCATACCATGAGTCCTTGGCCTCCCGGCAGAGGCAGATCCTGGCGGAGCAGAAGGCTGCCCTGGAGCTCCTGGAGTCGATGTACATGCGGGCGCTCTCCGTCGTGCGCTTTTCGGACGAGGGGCGAGAGTCGCCTTGTGATGTACAGGCCGATCTGGAAGACGCGGCGCTCATTGGTTGGGCGGAGTTTCTGCCAGAGGGGTTTCTGGATACTCTGGCCGGCGGCGGGGTGTGTTCGACGCTGTCGTATGTGATCCTGGCGTACTTTCACCTTCTCTTCGCGCTGCTGGATTCGTTTTGGTATGTCAAGGGGGGGTTTGATGGGGAAATAGTGAAGATTAAGGCGCTGGTGGATACATCGGGGGAAGGGGAGTTGATGCTGTTAATGCAGTGGCCCGTGTCTGTTATTGCTGTCGATCATGACCCTGGCAGTGTAATTGTATAATATCTAATTTCACGTATGACTGGGGCCGGTCAAGTAGAGACACTTTTTTATTTTGATGGTTATACCCCTGATTACCATATTAGGAAATGGGTCAGCTGTCTACCCGAGCAAATCACAGTGGACACATTGCGTAGTGCAACAACGTCATATTTAGGCACTCCACCACATATCATCTTGTTCTCTCTACTGCGTTACCAACAGTCTCGCTATTAGATCAGAAAGTGGATGAATATGGATCACCCCTCGACAATGAAAGCCTGGCTCTACACCAGCGCGACCGGAGGCCTCGAGAAAAACCTCCAGCTCAGCACCTCCGCCCGCACCCCCGGCCCACCCGGCCACGACCAACTGCTGATCAAAGTCATCTCAGCCTCTATCAACCCAGCCGACTTCAAAGTCCCGGAAATGCCCATCGTACCCCGGTTTTTTGTCTCTTACCCCGCCACCCCGGGGATGGACTTTTGCGGACAGGTAGTAACCGCCGGCCCCGGCGTCACCGCCTTCCAACCAGGCCAGCGCGTCTACGGCACGACCGCTGCCCCCGCACAGTTCGGCTCGCTGGGCGAGTACCTCCTCTGCAAGACAGAGAATGTAGCTCTCCTGCCGGACGGGGTGGCGCCCGACGACGCGGCCACCGTAGGCGTCGCCGCGCAGACGGCGTACCAGTCTCTCGCGCCGTATGTCTCGCCCGGCGACCGGGTGTTTATCAACGGGGGCTCCGGCGGGTGCGGGATCTTCGCGATCCAGATCGCCAAGGCGCTGGGGTGTACTGTGACGACGACGTGTTCGACGCGTAATGTGCAGTTTTGTCGGGATTTAGGGGCGGATGAGGTGATTGACTATACCCAGGAAGATGTGCTGGGTATCCTCCGTGCGCAGGGGCACGTGTATGCCCATGTGGTCGATCATATCGGATTGCCTGACGAGTTATACTCGCAGTCCGATGCGTTCTTGCTTCCTGGGAAGGCGTTTGTGCAGGTGGGTGCGGCGTCGATGCTGACGTTTGCGCGGCGGGTGGCAAGGCCTGGGTTCCTGGGCGGTGGGAGGAGGAAGTATGTGATTTTTATGCTGAAGAGTAACCAGGCTGATATTGCAACGCTGGGGGAGTGGATGCAGCAGGGGAAGCTGCGGGTGGCGGTCGACAGCACGTATGAGCTGGAGGACGCGGTCAAGGCGTTTGAGAGGTTGAGGTCGGGGAGAGCAAGAGGGAAGATTATCATTCATGTTTCTACTTGAGTCCAAAGTAAGCTACGCTAGTCCGATATCCAAAAAGTGATGCATTCATCTACTTGACTATGCCTATTGCCGGAGAAAAGTAAGCGCCCCAAGGCTCATCGCATCAACGGCAGTCCGCAGAGTCGGCTGGATACACGGCGCAAAGAACGGCGAATGGTTACTTGGTAGCTCGTCCACCCTCCCCTTGGCCATGGCATCCTCCCATGTCTTCTCGTCGACGCCGCCATACGTCCACATCACGTACGGGGCCCCAACCGGCGTCGCCAGCTGCGAGAAATCCTCACTCGCCGCGATAGGCTTCGACTCGACGAGATTCTCCCGGAAGTAGGAGCCAAAGGTCTCCTTGAGCGCACGCACAGTGGCCTCGTCGTTGATGGTGGCCGGCGTGGACGAGACGATGTCAACGGACGGCTTCTCCACGGCACCAGCCGCCGCACATTCCGCCTCAACAATCCGCTTGATGCCCGCGATGACTCGCTCGCGAGTCGCTTTATCATACGTCCGCACACTGAGCTTCAGATCCAAGTGATCCGGAATGATATTCGCCTTGGTGCCCCCGTGGATGCTCCCACAGGTCACGACCGCCAACTCGCCCGGCGTCACCTCCCGACTCACAATGCTTTGCAATCTCGTCACAATCAACGCCCCAATCACAATCGGATCGATGCAAGACTGTGGCGCCGCGCCGTGTCCTCCGCGCCCGTACACCCGCACATTGATCCCATCCGCGGCCGTCAACAACCGCCCAGCCCGGACACTCACCGTCCCCGTCTTCATCGGGACCACATGCTGCGCAAGCAAAACACTCGGCTTGGGGACTTTATCGTAAAGACCATCCTCGACCATCGCCCGCGCACCGCCCAAATGCTCCTCCGCCGGCTGGAAGAGACAGATCAGCGTACCCGACCAGTGCTGCCGCGCGGCGTGCAGCAGGCTCGCACTCGCCATGAGACTGACGACGTGAGTATCGTGGCCGCAGGCGTGCATCACGGGGACGGTCTCCCCGTCGGAGTCTCTGGCGGTTTTGGTGCTTGCGTAGGGTAGGCCGGTTTTCTCTTCGACGGGTAGGGCGTCCATGTCGGCGCGGAGGAGGACGGTCGGGCCTGGGCCGTTGCGGAGGACCCCTGCGACGCCATACCCGCCGATGTGGGTGTGAACGTCGAAGCCGAGGTTTTTAAGGTGTGAGGCAGCGGTTGCAGAGGTTTGTTCCTCTTGGCCGGAGAGTTCGGGGGAGTGGTGGATATGTCGGTAGGTTTTCTCGAACGGGGTCAGGTCTGGTCGGTATTTCTCAATGAGGCCTTTGAGGCCGGTGGGAGCTTATATGATCGTCAGATTGATCTACATCAATAGCGCAAACTTACCTCTCATCTGCATGCTGTTATTTGCGTCAATCGGTCTGTGGTAGAGAGTTGGACACTTGCGTCCTGCGGGGTGGCAGAGAATTTATACCCCGCGTTATCCCGCTCATCCCTTGCATCATTAAGATAGATCTCCATAATCCATACGATTAGATGATTGGCGTCATGCGGGGATGTGATCTCTTTGTTTCCACTGCTGATTGGACCGATCATGCCGAGCTGTGGCTGTTTCCGGCGCCCTTCTCCAGTCTCCATGTCTGGTGTCCGAAGCTGGGCGGTTGGCATGGAGACACGCCATTAAAGACTTTTGTGGGGCTGCAGGTAGCTTAGAGTATTTTATTATTGTTAGTATTATAGTCGGAATGTCCTAGCTTAGTCCAATCATCGGTGATGCCAAGTTAGACTGCGCCTAAGGGCTCTTCTCGTATTCGTGGCGCACGAGAACGATGCATGAGGCCACCTTGGGGACAACCTGCGAACACAACGGGAAGCATCGAAAATACTCAAACGGAAGTCAATCTGCTGTACATAATGATCACACTCTGCGACCTCCCTGATGACATCCTCCTAGGGATCCTCACCCAACATGTCCGCTCCGAACGCGACATCAACGCCTTTTCCCAGGCAAATCGCAGGCTACACAACGTAGGGAGGCGGTGCCTCTACCGCCAGAATGCGCTGCACAACCGAAGCAGCGCGCTGCTATGGGCATCCGAAACCGGGAATCTAGCCACAGCCATATACGCCCTCGACCCCGGCGGCGCAGACGTCAACACTAAATCCCGCAAACACAACGGTGGGACACCGCTCATGCTCGCCTCCGCGAAGGGACATGGCCCGATCATCCAGTTACTTCTCTCAAAAGGAGCGAACCCGAACGCGACTAACATTCACCATGAAACAGCCCTCTGCGTCGCAGCGCAGACCGGCGCCGTCGGCGTGGTCGAGCTGCTACTGGAAGACCCCGGGACCCTCCCTGACTTAGCCGACGCATCTGGACTGACAGCCTTGTGGTGGGCCTGCTGTAATGGCCACCACGCTGTCGTGGAACGACTACTCGCGAGACCTGATGTCGACATCAACCGCCAACGACAAGCCGGCGTGACGCGGCTGATCTCGGAAAACAGCGCAGCGAACACTGCCGTGGTGCAAGCGCTGTCCGAGGACGAGAGGATCGATTTGGACCGCTGGACGGAGAATGCCAGGACTGCTCTGATGGTGGCTGCCCTGAATGGCCACGAGACGATCGCAAAGCTGCTGGTCGATACGCCGTCATGCAACATCGACGCAGAAGACTCCGAGGGCAAACGAGCGCTTTCGTACGCTGTAAAAGCTGACTGCGGGGCGATTGTCCAGCTATTGATCCAGAGCGGTACGGACGTGAACCACCGGGATCTGTTACGCCGGACGGCGCTTGCCATGGCGGCGGATCTTGGCCGCGACAGCATTGCAGACTTATTGCTTCGGCATGGTGCTGATCCGACTGTCACAGATAGTCAAGGCTGGGTGCCTCTTCACTGGGCTGCGCAGGGCGGTCATGAGGCCGTTGTCCGGGTACTCCTCGAAGACGATCGGACGAACCCGGGGCATGTGAGCTTCATGGGCATCACGCCGCTTTATTGTGCGTCACTGGATGGCCACTATGGAGTGATCAAGCTCCTGCTAGCCAGAGATGAGATTGGCATCAATTGTAAAGACAACGCTGGCTGGACTCCTCTGACCTGGGCAGCTTTAAACAGATCCGCGAGTCTTGTGCGACTCTTCTTGGACGATCCCCGGACAGATGTCAATGCTCAAGAGCGTCGTGGCTGGACGGCGCTTTTCTTTGCGGCGAAAATAGGTCAGCGAGATGTTGTGGAGGCTCTTTTGAGTCATCCTATGATTGACGCTGCGATCAGGGATCAGACTGGCAAGGATGCGATGATGTGGGCGAAGGAACGTGGTCATTTGGATATTGCTGCCTTGATTGAAGCATCTGTAAAGCGAAAAGCTATGCCAACAGTATAGCTCAAACACCCAGCTGAAGTCAAGATTAATCGAATACACACAGAAAGGCTACTATCATTTGCTCTACACTAGTCTTCTACATCCAGAGAGCAGTGCGCGCGTCTTCATGAATATAAAGTTCACGCCTCTGTATTTCCTGTGTTCCATATCTGAGTCCCTTTCCCCAGTCTTCGAGAACATAAGCGCAAGACCGTGCCCGGTGCGCCACAATGGTCAAGTTCTGGGCATCTTATAATAGACGTATAGCATCAGAACAGCACCACCAAACATACAACAACCATTCAAACACTGGCTCTTCCAGAATATCTCTGTCTCAATGTCATTCAAGGCAGATGTAACTGGAAAGCCGACCAAGGTCCCCAGTGCCGCCGCAGCCGATGATATACCGATCCTGGTACCGACGAGGTCTTTGTCTGGCGAAAGATGAGGCACAATAATCGGGTATAGAACTGCTAGTGGCCCCATGAACAAAGCAATAAGCACCGCCCAGACGATAGTGGAACCCACTGATTTAACACCAATCCAGCCGAAGAGGAGGACACTGGAGGCCAGCGCGAAGCCGCCCATGGTGAGCGCGGGCCCCACTCGGTTTGAAAGCGGCACCGCCAGGTACCGACCAGGAATGGTGGATGCATTACAGATGACTAGGACATAGAAGGCTAGATTTGAGCTTGCGCCTGCTTTGAACTGGGCAAAGGTGGGGAGGAGAAAGAAGGGGACCCAGTAGGCGATCCACATGAGGAATAGAGCTACGCAGAAGGCCATAAACGCTGGGTCGCGGAATGCGGTGGGATCCAGAAGGGAGCGGACATTATGGGGAGCCTTGCTCTTGGTGTTGGGTAATATGATTGCCATCGCGATGATTAATTCCCCCAGCGTCACGAAGCCGAGAACTCGAATGGCCCACGGGAAGCCGAGCTTGGGCTGGAGTCTCGAGAATATGATGGGGTAGATTATCCCACCTGCATGTGTGCCTAGTTAGTGATAAGGATATCGGCGAGAAGAAAGGGGGAAAGGAGGCATGGGGACAAACCAACAGCGGTGCCGGAGGTGGCAATGAACATGGCCAAGGGGCGACGTTGTTGAAACCTCGATGCAACGAGACTGATGCTGGGCACATATAAGATTGCACTTCCGATACCGACACAAACGCCCTGTGCCAGGAGAATCTGGTAGTACTCGCGGGCTAAGCTCAACATCATGACGCCCAGTACGGTGGTTATTGTGCCTATAATTAAGAGCTCCCTGATATATCCACGATCGAAGATCGGCCCCGTTACGACGCCCCCCACTGTAAAGCAAGGTCCCCGGTTAATCACGCGGATCTTCTTCGCTTCGAATGGTGACTTACAGATGAGAATGACACCCTGTAGGGTGCCGACCCAAGAAATTGTGGTCGAGGGCGTGGAAGACAACAGGGTGGTTTCATAGAAACTTTCGTACGATCCATAGGCACTCAACAGACCCCTACAAAAAAGACACAGTGAGCACTACAGGTTGAACGCTATAGGAGACTTATGCACCGACTCACCATGTTGCTGTGTAAACGAGAAAGGCACCGAACGCCTGCAGCCAGGCGTCCACGCCCTCGTGTCCCTCCTTGGCGACATTTTCGTGTATGTGCTGTGAAACTGTAACAGTAGCTGGGATGGCTTGAAGACTTTCAGATGGAGGTTTTGCGGAAGCCATGCGCGGTTTTCAGTGGCAGTGAGACCCTTCAGAGCGAAGGATATGAGAGAGTTGAAATTAAGTGCGTGCCAGTGGGGGCCGAGGATGGGAAAGCCGATAAGGCTAATGGAGTGTACTTTGTGAGCTTTACTGGGCCTGCCCCCCGACCAACATTCTGTCCAATGCAGAACCCTGTAGTACAGCATTACGTGGTTCTAGCCCAGAACTGGATTACGACACTGCAGCCGGTTTCTTTATTCTCAAAGCCCAGTGGGGGGACCGTTTTTAGCTCTTCCATCACAGACGTATTTGCTTTTCCACATGGCAGCCAAAGACGCCAGTCTCATTTCCACGCCTTTTCTTCCATATCACAATAGAACCTCCCACAAGGGGTGATGTGGAAGTGGGTTTGTTCGTAATAGTCCCTGACATTACTCAGCCGTATGTGGTTTCCAAGCCGAGATCAGACAATGAAGGAACCGAGGCTGCAGAACTTGGGCATTTTGCAGTGTATCTGCTTCGACTCTTAATTATCTCTTATGCGATTCGCATTCAGCTCCCGCAGGGTCTCTCGCGATCTTCAGAGACGGATGAAATCATGCTTGGAGGGGTAAGCGCAATGGGTCTCTATTTCTTCCTGCACTAAGTGTGGCTGAGCTTGTTGACTCCGTAAATCGGCTTATGTTCCTGCACATTTTCCTGCTTCTTACTGATTGCAATCATGGGTTTGATCGATCTACCTAATGAACTGCTTGCCTTGATAACACATCATCTAGGATATGCAGATCTCAACTCCGTATGCCGCGTTAACCGCCAACACCAACACATCTTGAGCTATTATTAATATCAACGGAACATACAACAGTACAACAGTGATGTACTGCAGTGGGCTGCAATTCAAGGCCGTCCAGACACCATAAAAAAGGCCTTGCGATATGACGCTAATGTGAATACCACCGCGCCCATAGAGGGTCCCCTATTTCCTGATGGGTTTAAGTCGCGGTGCTCAAGGGAACTCCTCTTTTCATTAATAAAGGATGCCGATCCTGACGAAAACCTCCCCGGGAACTTTCATCTGGTGGAAGGGCTGGCTACACCACTCGTCGTAGCATCCGGTGTGGAAATTCTCCTGCAACATGGTGCTGCAGTTGATATGACAGGCTCGGATGGTCTCACCCCACTGATGGCGGCAACTAGCGCAGGCCATATGAAGGTGATGGAACTTTTGCTCGGAGGTGGTGCGGATGCCAGCATTCCGCGTGATGACGGAGGACCTACAGCACTGGAGTGGGGCTGCGATGCAGGATCATATGGCTGCTGTAAGATTATTACTGCAGTTTGATCCTGATCAGTGTGGTATATCATGGGACATAGCCCTTACATACGCAGCGGAACATGGTAATATCCAGTTGGTGAGGACGTTTCTGGATGGTGGCGCGCGTACAAGTGTCAAATACGCCAGATTCTGTCCTGATCTGCCGCTCATCTTCTACGCCGTAGATGGGAATCATCCAGACATTGTCAGCTTGCTGCTGGAACGGGGTGAGGATATTGAATGTCGAGACGCCGCTGCAGCAACACCTCTCATTTACGCTGCAAAGATGGGAAGCCCGAAGGCCCTGGAGATTCTTCTTCAACGCGGCGCGGATGTTAATGCAAGAGATGTGAATGGTCATTCAGCGCTCTATTGGGGGAGGGGGTTTGCTCGAAAAAGGGATGATGGACATGCTGGTGGAATATGGTGCAGAATTGGAACCTCACCTTGGCTCGTGACGTAGACTAATACTGGCGAGTGGATGATACTCAGAGCTTTTCACATCATGCGGGAGTATGCGCTGAGATGCAGATGTGCATCCGGAGCACTTCATCAAGGTGTTTCATTCCATTCAGAACAGGATGTAGTACGTTTATCATCTCATCATCGTTAATCTTTCTGTGATCAGAATGACTACTCTACATGGCATCTCAGTAAACTCCCTTCCTTGTTTCACATCATCCAAGGCCAACTCATTCTAGGATAAAACTCTCCGAATCAACCATCGAAGCATAACCCCTCGCAAAGTCTTCAAGGCACTTGACCAGAGTATCCATCCACGGAGTAAGGACACGTGCCTCATCAGTTCCCCGACTGTAGGTAACATGAAACTCCAACATGCCGTTAAGAATAACCGAATTGATCTCGAGCATGGCCCACCGGCCTAGCTTGCCCGCCCCATCAAACAGATTCTGCTTTGCCATGGGCTCCATGCGGAAGACAGCACCGTCCTGCTCGACCTGCTGGAACTTTCCCGCGTAGTTGAAGGTGATCTCCATCAGGTGTGTCCCCGCGCTGCATCTCTCCTGCTTGGTGTTGTGGTATATCGACGTAAAATGTTTCCATCCGTGCATCTCCATTGCCCGTCGAGCCTGCCGCACAGTAAGCACAGCCGTCATGAGACTATCGGACGGGCTAACTTCTGCGACCACTGGCCAGAGAGTAGTGAACCATCCGACCGTCCGGGTGACGTCGATCGAGGCATCCCATGTCTCGAGGCCGTGAGCTTCACCAAAAATGCAGGGAGCTGGGCGCTGAGGAAAGGTGCATACGAAGGAGAAGTGGATGGCGACATGGAGGAGCTCAACGGGTTCGACGTCCAAAGCTTGGCTGGAAGGGCCAAAGAGCTTGTTGGTCAGTTGCTCGTTCAGGCGGATCAGACTCGTATTGAAGTCTCCCCCTGTGTTTGCGTTGTTCTCCGCCCCAAGGACTTGCGCATTGAGGGCTCGTCTATACTGCAGAGCCGATGAACGGATGCTGATTTCGGAGGCGTGCTGGGCAAGCCGCTCCGGATCAGAGCTCCAGATAAGTACATCGATGGTCTAATCTTTGTGATGGCTCAGCGGAGTGAAGATAAGACGGCACCATGGGAGTTTAACATCTCTCTTTGAGGTCATCTGCAGTGAAGCGCATTGTGAATGACCCCCTCTGGTGCAAGTATGTTGAGCTGGATGGGTTCTGGCATGGAGCATCATGACCTCTCTGGTATTAGCAGCTTTCACCAGGTGTTTAGAGCATTGTTTTGATTGACATTTTTTTCAGCAGTTCTTTCCATTCTGAATCAGAAAGGGGCAATGTGAGATCGCGATGGGGTACGAGTGTGAGCACGTCCTGAGACCGAAGAGAGAGAGAGAGCCCTGACTTCTGCTCCCTCTCCAAAATAGTTGCCTCCAGTAAAGAGCGATAACTCACCTCGTCCTCCAAACCAGCTGACGTGCGCATGCCGATGGAACCACTTCCACACCCGTCTCTGAGAAATAACCTTTTAACTTCATATACTCTTGTCTGCAAAAACTGACTATGAAGGTCCCATTTGCCAACCCTAGCCTCGTTCCAACGGAGCGCGCATCAACTTCAGCTTATCAGTGGACTATTTCCCATGGGTTTGGGTAGACAAAGTAGTGAACGATGAATTATATCCATCAATAGTGAAGTAGCATATACGTTATGAATAATCCGGTACTCGTCTCGTATCATCAAACTATCCAACGCCTCGCTCATTATGAAACCCTCACATGGAGATCATCCTGGCCGAACTTCATGCATCTACCCAAATTCGTCCGCGCCAATGACCAGGACGAAGAAGACATACTTTCGCGATGACGGAGCTTCATACAATTCCTTGCACCTCTCTATATGTTTATCGTAATTGAAAAACTCATCCCGTCTTTGTTGCCGTGATCATTCCGATTCGTTCGTCGATGCCAGTATTTTTCTTTCTCAATCTACGATTCAGTATCGCACTCCGGCCAGACCGCCGGCAGTGTCTTCCTAAGCAAGCCTTCACCAATGAGACGTGGCCTTGATAACATTTCGGAAGAGTGCCGTGAAGGATCTAGGCACTCATAGACGGTGCCACAGGAGACAGATCATTAGTCTGAACATGGTCTGGAGGGCATCGGACTGGGTCTGTAGACCTTATGTCAAGGACGGTTAATTTATCATTAGATGTATATTTAAATCCTTATCAGAGTCCTATATAGACGTCCTAGTGAGGGGTAAATATATCTCTATTTCGAAGATGAATAGGCGATATAGGATTGAAGTTTATCTTCTCTAATTACCTCGTTACCTAGTTGTAAGTTACGTAAGGGAGGTACTTCTTAGGACCTATCATACAAAAAATATTAAAATATAATTATACTTTAGGTGGAGGACTTAGGAACTTACCCTATTTTATAATATCCGTGGGGACCCGGGGAGCGAGACTGGACATGCTTGTGGAGTTTCTGTGATCGACCGGATGAGTGACAGATGTGGAAGCCAAGTCTGGACTCGATATGCAGTCCAGCAGTGCGTCCAATGTACATGCTGTACGCTATGGTGCCACATCAACACGTGCGGGGACGGACTTTGGAGCAAGTATGGGAGATCATGGAACCTGAAGACCGAGTTGAGATTTGCCGTGAACTGCGGACTACTCCGTTATGATCATCTGCGCCAATGTGACCAGGGGCCGACTGGACAAATTCAGAGGTGTGGATTGCTCCATATTCTGCAGAACACCACCAATGATTTTCGAACTTACTTGCAGGCAACATTGTACAGGCAACTGCTTATGATAGAGCATTCCACCATCCGGCCCTCGACCATCCCATCGGCACAGTGATACCGCCTCAAGGACGGCCCGAATTTAGGTGTATTGGATTTGTGAGTCCAGCCTTACGAGAATCCTGATACCTGTTAGGAAGCTAATTATCCCCTAGTGTCAGGTGGAACACTTGGAAGTCTCCGAACATGTAATGATTATTTTAATGATTAATCAACAGTGATCCAAGGATGAGCCTGTGGATGAAAGCCAACGCTCATTGGGTATCATACAACCCGTGGTCATCAGGATTATACCTTACCACCAATCAAATGCATCGAAATAGGCAGGGATCAATACCTGTGTTGTCAATCTCACTCTGCGCCTCGTCTGACTTCTGCGTACTGAAGGAGGAGAATTCTTCACATATCTGGCTAGGGACTTTATGAACAATCTATCCGCGATATACTCGATCTCTCCCACTGTCTGCCCCTTTGCCAAAACGCCATCTAACGCACTAGTCACCATAGTAAATCTCTTCGGCTAGGCTTGTCCAATGAATGGTAAGTAGTAAATCTATATTGCACAATTAAATTTAACTAAAAGTCTGCACGAAACATGGTCTAACTACCCAGCACGTGCCCACCCCCACCGAGGGAAATGATCATACGCTGCCTTTGCCTCTGGCTATGACTATGCCCACACGCCTGCTATGCTAATCAGGCTAATGAGGTATAAGGAGCAGGAGACAGAAAACTAGTAAAAGCAGAGGCTGCCTAAAGAACAGAAGGAAAGTAACAGTGTATGTCGAAATAAGGCCAAATGGTAAAGGAAGAGGCTTAGATTTACGAGGAAGCATATCTAAAGTTCAGCAGCTAATCTCCTCCTAGCAGACGCCTACTCCGGAGTAGTTCTACACTAGTTCAGTAGTATTTATTATTGCCACCCCTGCCATTACTCGACAGCTAGTGGCCTCACCACCACATGTGCTAATCTGTATTTAGATTAACTCCACTCGGCCATTAATCATGCTTGTAGAATAGGATAGAATTGAGCAGAAGGCCCTTCTAGACGCTTAAAGGAGCTATTAAAGCATAAGCATCGGAGACATTAGAACCATGAAACTATTGCCCGCGTGGCCACTGGCCAAAAGGCTTCCTCTAAATTCCGACTTACTATACACAGGACCTTGATTATACATTCTGGTCTGTACACAACCCCAAGGCCTGCTCCTACTATGGATAAGAATGATATTGTGACAGCTTCGGCCATTTGTTAGATGACCCTCGGAAACCATCGGCGGAAAAGTCTTCCAAGAGACCCCTGCACACCGTAAGCACTAGCAGTCGAACCCTTTAGAAGAAATTAGAATGATCAGGATCGGTGACGCCGTAAGAACCATACTCCTAGACTTTTGATACATATTATGATGATGTTTAGACGGGGTCAGTGCGGCGTTTGCGCAGAGATAGGATTTGCCAAAGAGGGTATTTGGTCTATGATCTACCAAGTCGCTAGGGAGTAGCCGCGGGAGACCGCCGCTGATTGGGGGCTACGGACTCCGTAACATATTAAAGTCTCCGTGCGCTACAGTCTAGGTACTGCATATATGTCTCCGACATAGGCGAGACCGTTAGCTCGAGCATGCCGCCCCCAACCACGTTGACCTACCAAGGTCCTCAGCATGCGCATCATCAGCCAACCAGATACTCGCTTTTGAGTCGTGTTGTTGGGGATCGTCCCTCCGAACTGCAGCTTATTGACACATCCTCAGCACGCGACTTGGCATTTGGCTGCTAGCTGTTTCGGCTGGACCAATCAATTGGCGGGGGGAGAAACGGTGCAGAACTCGACGCAGAGACCACTTTCTTCACCAGGTTGCACAAGCACGTTCCATGCTGGCTGCAAGATTCAGTTGTGCTTCATCAAGCACTCGGCTGTAATGTAAAGAGCCGCAAACTCTGAATGAAGTGAGGACTGTGAGGGACAATATCAACATCAACTTGGCATGAATCGAGTCAATTGAGTTTGATTGCGGGATCTAGTGCCGAGACATCTCTCGCCCTTTGTTTGCCGTCTGACAAGCGGATCCGCCTCGTCAGAGGCGCTCCAAATCCGTAAGCTGCAGGCGCGAAGGATTCTGAGGCGCAAGGCAACTCCCTGCTAGTGGTGCTGATTCAGGACGGACTGATTGACATTGTGAACGTCGACTGAGTCGAGGTCAATTTAGTTGGAGTGCGGATTAAGTCTCGACAGAAACTCTCTTGGCTCTCTGACAGGCCAGATCAGCGTCGTCAGAGGTACTGCAGGGTTAATTGGCATGCACGGAGACATTCAGGTGTCAGAATACCCCCTTTCCAGTGGTGGTGCAGAGCGATGATGGAAGGTTAAAAGCCTTCTCTTCTCCGAGGCGTTGCTGCTAATATTTAAGGCCAGTAGTCTACCACCTCCACGGGTCAATCAAGCCAACTACTCGCTAACGATGGCGGCATCTATGCAGGATGTGTCGCCATCTTTTACCTCGTCTCCCACATCCACAATGACTACGACTTCCACACCCAAACCAGACAAGCCTCGCAAGCTACGATCGGCCTGCGATGCCTGTCACCGGTCCAAGACTCGATGCTCGGGCGGCAACCCTTGTACCCGATGCCACGAGTATATGAGTCCATGTACCTACAGCTATTCCTCACGCTGCGGCAAACCCAAGGGGGCCCGCAGTCGTAAAACTCTGGAGCGGGAGCAGCGGGTGGCGGCGGCTGCGGCAGAGTCCGCTCGGATAGCGGGGAACCCGCTCCCGTCTGCTCTAGCCTCCACCACCTCCGCCACGGCTACGGCCACTCCCTTCCAGTGTCCAACCGCCGACACTGCGGCTGCCGCAACCGGCGCCACCACGTCCACGGTCGCGTCTCCCCGTGCTGACGACTGTCTCGGTCTGTTCGACGACGAGGAGGAATTGCTCCCCGTTTTCTCCAGCTGCGGTGAGGATACCGGGGCTAGTACTGCGTTTTCGACGGACTGGATCCCTCCTCTGCCCTCCATATCCGACTCCGACCTTTCGTTCCCGTTAATAGATTCAGGGTTAGCCCCGGACCCTGACCTCAATGACTCCATTTTCTGGAGCACGATCGCCGAGCCTGACTGCCAGCCGGCGAGCAAGGAGCTGCTGGATCCTCGAGCCAAGCTGCTGCGCTCCTGCAAATGTCTCCAGACCCTCAGCAACCTCACTTCCCGAGACATCCGTCGATTCGATGCCACGTTTATGTTTGTCCGGAACTTTGCTCGTGCATTTTCCGCCTTCTATTGTTGTTCACACTGCCCGAAAGATGCCGGCAGTATCAGTATGGCAGTGACCGCGTTGCAGCTGGCAACGACAGCCCTGGAAAAAACCGCCAACATAGGGACCGAAGCTGCTGTCTTCAAGTCAGGCTGCTCAGGCATGACCTCCGCCGACCTGGACGACGACCTACTCTCGCCAAGCTCCGACCTCTTCCTGCCGTCGAGCAACAGCAGTGGCCCCAACCCCTTCTTCCAGCTGGGAAGCTACCAAATCGCCCCTCTGCCGGGAGAACCCGAGGCGGAGGAGCATAGTGAGATCCTGAACATCTTGATACGGTCCGCGGTGCGCCGCTTATTGGCCGTCTGCTGGCAGATCTGGGATCTGCTCCGTGGTCCCGCTTCCCGCGACGGCCGGGGGTATGTCTTTGACCCCCTTGACTCGTCTTCCTCATCTTCCTCTTCCTCCTCGTCCTCCTTCTCATTCGCCCCTGACAATAACCAACTCTTTGATCTTTCATGCTCAGCCGAAGCAGCCCAGTTTCGGAGCACGCTGGTCCAGATACCGGCTCGACTGTGCAACTTGCTGGCCTGAACGCCAGCCCAGCCTCTAGGCTTCCTAACTTCTTTTGCTCCCCATGAAGCACGCAAAGTGTGCGCGGTTATGGCGGTAGATGTACGAATTACGGCAGTTACCCCAGTTCTTTTCTTTCATTCAACACCGTTCGCCCTGAAGAAGACACTTCTTCGGGCGAGGACCAGGAAGATAATCCACTTTAGAGAGTGCGATCAAGATCCCCGTTTAGATGTCATGACGCCTTCTGGGATAAGACAAACAGAAAGAAAAAAATGAAAAAAAGAAAAAAAAAAGTTAGAAACAGGAAATCGCATGATTATGATTGGTCGATGGTTTCAGTTGGCTGTATATCGATAGAGCAGGAATTCTCATGAATCATTATCAGATGTGTCACTGAAATGGCAGCCAGCCATCTTGTGCTAATTGTATTTGGATGGTAAATATACATGTGGAGTGTATAGGATGAAGATCCGGTCTGGCAATGTATCTATCTAACCAACAGGGCGTTAATATCAGTAAGGACAGTATAAACTATGTGAAATGTCTGCGAAAGCATGTTGAAACAGTAGTAGAGTCGGAGTCTGCAATGGGGTCTTTTTAGCATATACTGATACCAGAGTAAGGGTAACAGACGGACTTTACAGCAGACTACTGTTCAAATGAATATAGTGAAAATCTCCCGGTTCTGCAGCCATACTATCACAGACTATAGTCAATACCCTAGAATGACTAACGGGATAGAGATGACTGAATGTATGGATGTATATAGATGACACAATATAGTTGTATATTGCCTTGCCTATCGCTACGCACCATCAACGGTCCATCTCTTCCCCTCCATTCCAACCACCTGTTCAATTCGCCGCAGCCCTTCCATGAGCTCCTCCTCAGGAAGCGCAAACGTAATCCGAAACCATCCACTTTCGCTAGCGCAATACCCCTGTCCCGCGCCCACCGACACGCCCACCGCCTCGAAGCGATCATTGAGAGCTGCCTCGTCCTCCCAGCTGGGCTCGTCATCCAGCCGTGAAAAGGATCTGCATCCCAGTCGTGCCCAGATATACACCCCGGCAGCCGGTGGCACAAAGGGTATCTGGTGGAAGACGAGAAAGTCGCTGATCAGCCGGGCGCTACGCTGCAGCGCAACTCTGTTCTGATGCAGGATTCCATCGATGGCCGCGGGATCGCGGAGCAGCGCGGTGATGACGAGCGAGGTGAATGTCGAGACGCGGGAATGGTTCGAGATGGCGAGGGAGAGACGGAGATCAGGATGTGCTTGGGTGATGCCGAAGCCCTGTGCACAACATTAATATCGGGATGCATTGAGGTTAAGAGAATAGGAGACAAATACCAGACGCAAGCCGCTACTGCCGAGATCTTTGCTAATACTGTAGAGCGTGAACACGCGCGCCAGATCTACCCCTAGGGCAGACACATCGATGCCAAGGACCGAGGTGAACGGCACTTGCTCGTCAAGTGTGGAGAGGGCGTAGATCTCGTCGGAGATGTAGAATAGATCATGCCGTTGGGCGAATTGGAGCAAGGCTTGGGTTACCTTCGGGGGGTAGATATGTCCGCATGGATTGTGGGGGTTACACACGAGGATGGCTTTGATGCGGCAGGGGGCCTGACGAAGGGCCCGTTCGTACGCCGCAACATACGCCAATACGACATGATCCGGATCCTCAGATCCAGATACATCACTGTCAGATGGAGGTGTAATATGAACAGCCGTGACGTTGGAGCGCAGAACGAAGCTTGTCTCGAACCCACCTGTAAACCCATCAGCAAGTAGAGCACTGTGCAACAAAACCCCAGGCGTTGCGTACCCCAGAACGGCGTTTCGATTAACACGCCCTCTCCCGGCTCGCAAATGTCATACAGCAGATTCTCCAGCAGTGAGCTGCATCCGGCCCCTACGACGACGTGGGCCGGCTCCACGCGGGTATGCGCGGCAAACACGCGGTTGAAGAAGTCCGACGCGACTTGCAGCAGCTCTGCGTCACCACCCATGCCATCTGCGTAGGATAGATGGCGGGTGGAAAGATTTTGGGCGAAGAGCGCCTTGTACTGGTCGACCAGCTCGCCGCGGACGGACCAGTTCTCCGCCGTCATCATATTGACTCGGTGCTGTTTCGCATTGAGCCGAGATACCTGCCGCATATGCTTGTTGGTGAACCATTGGATGTTTGCGCGAGAACGATGCGCTAGAGAGGGAGTAATTATCTCAGATGCAGATGGCATTGTGTTGTCGCTGTTTGCGTTTTACCTGACCTGACTTGTTAGATGGGCCTCCTCGTATCATGATCATCAGTGTCGAGAAGATAGCAGGTTTCCATCTATTGAAAAGTCTGCGTAAAAGAATATCGGATTCCGAGATCGACGAATTAGAATCAACAGTAACATGTGTTGCATAGAAATTCGAATGAGTGGGTGGAACTTTGATTTCGGTGGCCGAATTAAGAGGCTGAAGTAGGGTACATTGTCCTCCGCCAGTTCCAACGACAAGAAATGGAATATCAGACCATCATGCTAGACAAGATACAAACTTAGCTAGGAATTATACCACACATAGCTAGAATGGCTCCGAGCACGATCGAAGAACAGGCCCGGAGGCTTCTGAACGAGGTGCCTCTGATCGACGGCCACAATGACTTTCCGTACATGATACGCGGATGGTTTCGCAATGACATCAATGGCCAGAATGCCCACCTGTATGATATGCCAATCGGCCAGACTGATCTCCAGCGTCTACAGAAGGGGCAGTTGGGCGGCCAGTTCTGGAGCGCATATGTCCCTTGGCAAGTTTCTGTGTTACTCTTCCGTTCTCGTGCGCATGAAAACCCATTGTACTAACTGTGATTCAGCCCCAAGAACCCAGATCGAGAGGTTGGCAGTTTAGAAAGCCTCCGCCAGACGCTTGGACAGCTCGATGTAATCCACCGATTGATTGAGACACACCCGACAATCCTGCAGTTCGCCGACTCAGCGGCCAGTATCTGGAGCAGCTTTCGCGCCGGCCGCGTCGCGAGTCTGATCGGGATCGAAGGCCTCCACCAGATCGCTGACAGCGTCAGCGCCCTGCGCATGTTGTACCGACTGGGTGTTCGCTATGTGACGCTGACGCACAACTGTCACAATTCCTTTGCAGATGCGGCGACGATATGTCCGGAGATCCACGGAGGATTATCGTGCAAGGGAGAGCGACTGATTCGAGAGTTGAACCGAATGGGGATGTACGTATTGCTCCTGCAAATTGGATTACGTGTAGCTCATTGTACTAGGATTATTGACCTGTCCCACACGTCACACAAAGCCCAAACACAAGCGCTGCGGCTTTCACGAGCGCCTGTCATCTACTCTCATTCCTCCATGTAAGAACCAGACTATCCAGTTAAACGTAGGTTCTACTAACATCCACGGACGGGGACTAAAGATATCGTCTCTGCGCACATGTTCGCAACGTCACCGATGAGAACCTGCAACTGCTGCAACGCAATGGCGGCGTAATCATGATCTGCTTCCTGCGCGAGCTGCTTGCAGCCGAAGCGGACCAGGCCGCGCTCAGCCACGCCATCGACCATATCATCTACGCCGGGACGCGGATCGGATACGAGCACGTCGGCATCGGGTCCGACTTTGACGGGATGCTCCGTGGTCCGGACGGGCTGCATGATGTCTCGTGCTATCCTGCCTTGGTGGCCGGGTTGCTTCGGCGCGGTGTGGCCGAGGAGGATGTCAAACGGGTGATGGGGTTGAATGTCATTCGCGTGCTGGAAGAGGTGGAACGTGTTTCTGCAAAGCTTCAAGGGGCCGGAGAAGAATGTCTGTGCGATGAGTTGGACGAGGTGTGGAATGAGGATATCAAGAGGCAGTTGACGCGAGAGCGAGAACGAGTGAGGAAGTTGTTGCCTCAAGAGTAGAGGAATAGGCATTTAGGATACGATGAAATTGAATTCATGATATGATGCATTGGACTTTCAGCTTCAGGTAAACCGTCATCTGAATTGATGGAATGATCTCAGCAGTCCCTTAGTTCTGTAGTTTTAGCTCACGATGAAGGTAGTTCTAGCTGGCAGGAAGTAATAATATTTTATTCATATGGAGATTACTCTTCTGGTATCAGTCTTCAGCAGAGATACCAGCATAAAGATATATGTACTCTTACTGAGGCTAAACAATTCAACAAACTTTCTTTATCGGGTTAACTATTCGTAGGTGACAGGAATATGAGTAAATACAGATGCCAATGACAGATGAACATAAAGCAATATATACAATCTAAGCTGCCTGAAAAAGTTAAAGTACCTGACGATAAAGACGCTGAGCCAGATCCTGCGCCGACGGATGATCGAAGATGTTGCAAATGGGCACGTCCAGCCCAACCCGTTTCAACTGACGGCTTAACCGCCAGGCTTGAATCGAATCAGCGCCTGCCTCAAAGAAGGAGACGGAGCAGGGAAACTCGTCCAGCGAGATACCCAAGCAGGAGGCCATCTCGCGCCGCAGAATTCCAACCAGACGGCGGTAGAAATTCCAGTCGACTTTGGTCTTGGCCGTGCTGTTCATCGCATCCAGGCGTTCGTGGATGGCCGCTCGAGATAGGCGCTCGGCCAGCGCTTCAAGGACACACCGGACACTTTCCTCGATTGTGGTGATGGTTGCCTCGTCCAGCTGGTGATCATCGTACTCGATGCGCAGGGTCCAATGGTCCGTCTCGATCTCGGTCCATTCGAACATGAGCAGGAACTTGGCCCCCGACGCAAAGCACATTTCGCGTTTTATCTCCAGTCCCTCGATGGCGAGACAATCCTCCACCGCCCGTTTGAGGTGGAAGGTGACCATGGCTTCGAAGAGCGGGTGTTGCCGAATGGTTCGGGGCTGGTGGAGGAGGTTCAGGACCTGCTCGAACGGAATGGCATTGCAGACGGCCGCTTGGCTCGCTTCGCGGGTAGACTGCAGGATGGTGGCGCAGTCTGCATTGACGGGTGTTTTGAAACGAAGAGGCAGGCGATCGAGGAACAGGCCCATCGACTCTTGCTCCACGGCGTGGCCGCGGTTGGCCCACGGAGAACCGAGCACGACGTCGTTGGAGCCGGCGAGCCACTGAAGCGTCTGTGCCACGGCGGCACATACCAACTGGTGCTGGCTCATGCCGTACTCTTGGCCCAAGGCGACGACGCGTCGCACGAGGTCTCCCTTGAATTCGGACACTCGGGAACGGCCTTCGAACGTCATCTGGCCCGGATACCGCGGGATGTCCAGGCGCCGGGGAGCATCCTCGAGGTACTTGGACCAGAACTTCCGTTCCTGCTCTGTAACCTGGCGCGACCAAGCTGGTGCCCGAGGATACTGCCATCGGTCTGCTGTTGGGGTCGTTCTTCCCGTATACACGGCAGACACTTCCTGCAGCAGATTCTGCACGCTGTTGAGGTCGGCGACGGCGTGGCTCGTGACCACAAGCAGGGTGCGACGGTCTAGGAAGACCCGGATGAGCTCATCACGAGCCAAGTCGAAGCCCCGGTCGACCTCCTTGGCTGTGTCGAGTGCGCCGTCGCACACGAGGACTCGTGGCGCTGTGTCACGGAAGATTCGACACGGTCCGAGCGACGTCTCGACAAAGTTGGTGCGGAAGACCTTGCGCGAGGCCAACACGGAGTTGAAGGACTGGACTAGACGGTCACGATCAAAGGCCCCGCTGAGGTGCAGGAGAACGGGGATATTGAATGTGCGCACGTCAGAGGCGATCAGGTATTGGAACCACGTTTGCCTCTCCAACGGCGACAGGCAATGATCGGGAAACGCGTCGCAGATGGTCCGCGGCTTGGACGCCGAGGCCTGACGTTTGCGGCGCACCAGCTCGACCTGCTCGGCCAGGGTGGGGTGTTCAATCACATCGCGCATGGACACGGAGATGCCAAAGGTGCTGCCGAGGCGAGCCGCCAGCATCATCTGCAGAACGGAGTGACCTCCCAGCGCGCGGAAATCATCGTCTTCACAGAGCTTGCGAGCGCCACCACTCGCCTGCAGACGCAACACGTTCTTCCACAGGGTTGCAACGCCGTCTGCGATGGAAGCATCCTTTGCCATGGTCGCTGCACTCGTCTTTTGCCGCGGCAGGGCTTCCTCCGGCCGTGTGAGGGTGGCTCTCTCCGCCAGCTTGCGGTAGTCGACCTTCCGGTTGGCCGTCCAGGGGAACTCTTCGAGCGCGGTGATCACCTGGGGCACCCAGCTGGGTTGGAGCGACTCGCGCAGTCGCTGCTCCAGGCGGCTGACATCCACGTCGTGCGGCATGACAAAGGCCACCAGGGTATCATTGACAACGAGAGCAGCCGCCTGGGTGAGCCGTGGCTCCTCCTGATACATCTTCTGCTCGACCGCCGCGAGCTCGACGCGGAAGCCGCGGATTTTGACCTGCCGGTCCAGCCGTCCTATGTAGACAATCTGGTTGTCAGCGTTCCAGTAGCCGTAGTCGCCCGTGCGATACATCCGTTCACCAGGATGCCAGGGATCCGGCAGCACGCTGTAAGCAGTCTTGGCGTCGTCTCCCACGTAGCCTCGCATCACCTGTTGTCCAGCTAGGAAGATCTCTCCGGTCTGGCCTTCAGACACGTGCTGCAGATCGGGGTCCAAGATGTACATTCGCGCGGTGCGAATGGCGTTTCCGATGGTGACCTGCTGGCCGGGCACTAGGCGTGTAAACGACGTACAGATAGAACACTGAGAATGTTAGTCTAGTACGGAAGCCTTTGAGCTAGAACTGGAAGGAATTTAAGGGATACCTACCTCTGCAGGGCCATAGGCGTTGTAGAATGCTCGACCCTCGCCCCACCGAGCGAGCAAGCCCGGAGTGACGGGCTCTCCTGTCGCGTAGACCATGTCAAGGTTAGGATAGTCGTCTGGATTCAGGACGCTGAGCACAGAAGGAGTAATTGTTGACACATCGACCTTGGCCAGATGGGCCAGAGGGTCGGACGGGTCACGAAGCACCAGCGTGCCGCCATGGAGCAACGCAGAGAAAATCTCGTTGGAGCAGTAGTCGAACGCAGGCGACATGAACTGAGCAATACGACGGCCGGGGCGGCTGAACATGGTGGCTTCGGGATTCGACTGCAAAGCTAGAAGCCCCCGATGACTGATCGGAACCCCCTTGGGGCGGCCGGTTGTGCCAGAGGTGAAGACGATGAGGGCATCCTCGTTTGCGTTGACCAGGAGCGACAGTTGCCTGCTCGTGTCCGCTGTCTCGCATTCTTGAAGCGTGAAGACGCGAAGGTCCGTTATTGGCAGGATCGCCGCAGTCGACGAGCAGGCATTAGGGATCAAGAGCGCGCTGGCACCGCTTTGCTCGTAAACGGCGACCCGTCTCGCCATTGGATAGGCAGGGTCGAGCGGACAGTATGCGCAGCCGGCTTTCAGGATACCCAAGATACCCACCACCCAGTTGAGGGTTCCATCGGCATGGATGGCAATGACTTGGGCGCTGGGGAAATGTTTTGCAATATGCGACGCCACCGCGTTGGACTTTTGATCCAGGGCCCGATAGGATAGGGAGGCTCCAGGCCCGTCCACGGCTACCAAATCCTCGTGAAGGTCGACCGACGCATAGAACGCCGCCGCCACATTGGGTACATTATCCTGTTCGAGATCAGAAGGCTGATCGACCGCAAGGGGTGTCTTCGTCGGCCCCGTGAGCCACGCCTCCAGAGTCGAATCATGTACCAGCACCTTGAGTGCCTGTTGGAATGTGTCGGCATACTGTTGCACCGTCTGCTCGCCGTGCACGGAAGGGTTGTACACCAAACGGAAATGAGCATCCGCTTCGACAAGTAGACTCAACGCAAAGGTCGTGTTCTCAAAGAACTGCTCCTTCTGAGGCGGGATGTGTTGGTCGTAGGCCGGGAAATCATATTGTGTCGCTAGGAGAGACTCCACCCGGTACCCGATCTGATCGGGGGCAGACCAGGCGAAGGCGCTAATAGTTGCCAGACCTTCGAGCGTGGTCTGCAGCTGGCGCTCAATGGATGCGTCTGCCTCGAGGCGGCATACGAGTGGCAGGGTGGCCATTAATGGCCCGACGGCGTGCGCATCGTCTGGAAGGACCTCACGGCCGGAGAAGACCACTCCCAGAGTTACCAGGTTCGCCTTGGCCGTCCGAGCCAGGGCCATGGCCCATGCGGTGTAGTAGACAGCTGCCAGGGTGACGCTGCAGCTGGACGCGAGTCGGTGCAGCTCATCCACGCCGCCGACATGCTTGAATAGGACCTCCTGAGCCAGGTACGCCTGTGCTACAGGTGTTGCCATTACCTCTGTTCTCGTGAGTGACCGCACCGGCTGGAGATACTGCTCCCAGAACTGCCGTGCCTCGCCGTCTCGCTGTTTCTGGATCCCCTGCAGATTCCATGCTGCATCCACAAAGGAAGTGCGGAGGGAAGGTGTGATCCCCTGCGCCGCCTGCTGCACCCGCGCCAAAATCAGTCCCAGGGAGTAGCCGTCGATCAAGCTGTGATGGGCCGTCCAGACAATGGTCACCTCACCCTCCTCGTCGTCGTGGTCATTGGGCATGAATTTCATAAAATCCAACCGCATACTGAGTCCCACAGCCAGGCGCGAAGGATCGATCAGGGCAGCGTTGTAGTCCTCCCGCCGACGGAAGACGATCTCCTGCGGCTGGCACCTTGGCTGAGCGTGAACGATCTGCACGCCGGGCCCGATATCCAGCGCGATCTGGGTCCGAAAGACGGGCTCGGTAAGACAGACCTGCCGCCATGCGTTGCAAATGCGATCAGCCATGGCCATGGGGTATGTCTGCCGCAGCTGATTCGTGTTGGTCCCATCGCTTTGGAAGATGGGAGCGCTCAGCTCCAACTGCAGGGGGGTCAACGGAGCGACCTCGGTGTCGGATGGAACCGTTCCGTCCAAGGGTGGAAGTGCAGCAGCGACCTCTGCCTTGAGAGATACTCGGTGGTCGATTTGCTCCTCTTTGTCAGACACTGACTGGCCAGGCCGAGCCAGGTCGCGAGCATAAGGAAGAATGCCTCTAACCGTCGGATGCAGGTACAGATCGCGAGTAGTGAGAAGGATGCCCCGTTCCCGGCACAAGGAGGTGAATCGAAGAGCAGCCAGTGAGTTACCTCCCACGGCGAAGAAATTGATATCCTTGGACGTCGACGCCACCGGGAGCTCTAGGCCCAAAGCAGTGTACATGCATTCGGCTATAATTTGTTCGCGCTCCGTAGGACGCTCTGCCCCTGTCGTATCTTCATCTTCCGTGGCCTCGCAGACACGCGCCTGGTACTCTTTCAGCATGTTCTCAATTGCCTTGGTGTCAATCTTTCCATTGGCGGACAGCGGAAATTGATCGACAGCCAGGTATCTTCCCGGCCGATGGAACGCCGAGAGTCGGCGCTGGGCCTCGCTCTGCAGGCCGTCCAGATCGGCAGTGGACGGTGTCACCAGCACAACCAAAAGACCGTTGACCAATGAAGCATAGACGTCAGTGACTCCGAAACCCATCTGGCGTAGCGGTTCCTCCACGTCGGCCGGCAGATTGACGAGAAAGCCGCGATTCTTGACTGTTCGGTCAGTGCGGCCGCGGAATTCGACCACGCGCTGGCCGTCGTTACGACGGGTCCAGCGTCCTTGATCGCCAGTGCGATAGACTCGCTTGCCGTGCCAGTCAATAAACTTCTCGGCTGTCAGGGCGGCGTTCCGGTAGTAGCCGTGGGCCAGCCCGACACCTGCAATCGCAATCTCGCCTTCTTCGCCTTCCTCTTCGATGGGCAGAAGAGTGTCCGGCTGCAGCAAGTATACCGGCCCGTTGGGCATCGGACAACCGATGATACTCCGATTGATCATTCCTGTCTCCTGGCAGACCTCTACTTCCTGCATCAACGAGGCACAGGTGGTTTCCGTGGGGCCGTATGCGTTCAGGATGCGGACGCCAAATTCAAGCCAGCTGGACAACAAGGGGGCTGGTGGCGACTCTCCGCCCAACAGAATGGTATGGACATATGGGTAGCTGTCTGGCAATGCCGTTGGCAGCGGTAGCGTGGCCAGAATCGAGGGGGTCGACGCGAGGATCGAGCAGGTCTGCGCTTTGTCGAAGAGGGTGTCCATCGTCGTAGGGACCACGATGCCCGAGTTGCCTAGAATGGAAAAGAGCATACCCGTCGAGGCTACACAGTGAGCATTTAATCATACAAGACACGCAGGGATGCCTACCATCAAAAGATACGGACAGGATATGCAGTACTCGGTCTCCCGGCTGCACATCCATGTTGAAAGGACTGGTCTGGGCATAATTGGCCACTGCACGGTGTGGAATCATGACCCCTTTGGGAACTCCAGTGCTCCCACTTGTAAAGATCAGACAGGCGAGGTCCTCGGGAGCGATATCGGGAACGACCTTGGTGCTGCTGCGGTCTGTCGATAGAGCGGCCACATCGGCACTGGTGAGATGGATCACTTTGTGCCGTGGGCTTTCAAACGGTTCGACGGTTGTGTTGATGAGAATACGGCTGTCCGTACCGTCCAGCACGGCTTGTATCCGCTCGGATGACCACGAGCTACGGTCCAGAGGGACATAGCAGGCATGAGCCTTTAGGATGGCAAGCAGTGCGACAATATTCCGGGTGCCGTGCTCGGTGAGTAAGAGCACCGCCTCGCCAGGTACTACTCCTTCTTGCTGTAGCTTTCGAGCCAGGTTCGATGAGGCCACATCGAGTTCTGCATAGGTGAGCGAGCCACTCTCATGGTCGACTGCCAGCTGGTCTGGCGTCCGGGCGACGGACCGGGCAAAAAGCTGGCAGAGGTCGAGGGCTACTACTGATGGCATGATGAAGAGCGTAGGGTTGAGCCAAATAATAATAGTGTAGATATTTAAAAAGGAGCAGGCATGCCTGACTATTTTCTGTTGAAAGAAGTTTGGTTAATGTAGGCTGAACTGGGAGGCAGTCGATGATGCTTCATATGCGAATCTCTCGGGGAGCTCGGAGACTTATGGCCGCCGCTTCATGCACCATGGCGGGGGTATATTTCCTTTGGACTCCACGTACAATCCCTATCGGTACCCTGTATTGCCACCCCTAGTTTAGGGACTATCCCGATTACCAGGGGTAGTTTGGCCTCCGAAAAGTCGGCGTCCGAGCAGGGGCTCCAGAAATAGGCCCTGCAGCGGCGGTCGTTCCCTGTTAAGGTACGGCAAGCCCCTGTTCACTACTGTACAGACCATTCTGCTGACCCTTCCCAACTCATTCATCATGGGTTACACACTCACTATACTCCTCCCCTGTCTGGTACTGGCTCTCGTGGTGGCCCGACCTGCTCTCTACTGGCTTCTGTCTGTCGTCGTAGATGTACGGCTCTCTGATTCTCCTTCTGAAGAATACTGACTTATGCCATATAGGCCTTTCTACGATGGAAATACCCACTACCTCATCAACCAGGTGTTAGACCCCTGCCGCGTGCTCGGTATACATGGCCCAATGGTCAAGGCACTGAAAAGTTCTTCAATGGACGTTCCGCTGCCAAACAGTGGCGAAAGCAATGGGGTCCGATGTATCAGATTTGGTCCGGCTGGTCTCCTGAAATGTCAGTTTGACCTCTACCCTCACGGCAGGTTCCTAGCTGCTAATGCTGACGATGACAGTGTGCTGACCACTCCCACCCACGCTGTCCAATTCTTCCGCAACTCGCATCGTCACACCAAAGCAGTGAACAATGACTCCGGCTGGCTCTTCGGCGAAGTCCTCGGTGTCTGCGTCGGGCTTCTCAGTGGCTCCGACTGGAAACGAGTCCGGCAGCAGGTCGAAGACGGCTTTGCACGTCCCGCCGCCACTCGATATACGGCTGACCTGGTCACTCTGGCCCGCGAATATCTTCAAACTACCCTCGCAGCGTCATCCGATCAAAGCCTGGAAACCAAAGGAATCATCCAAGTCGAGCCAGCTAAGACCCTGCAGTTCTACCCCTTCTTGTCGGTGGCTCAGATCTTGTTCGGACGCTTAAGCCCAATGCAGCGTAGCCAGCTGACCACGCTTGCCCCGTTGAGGGAGGAGTTGTTCAAGGAGGTCATTCGGGGCGGCATCAATCGCTTGTCCATTGCACCTTGGTTCCGGTCGCGGGGAGTGCGCATTTTGAATGAGTTCCAGACGCAGTGGGAGCAATTTGTGGAAGACGCCTACCACGCAGCCGTAAAGCGCAATCAATCCCCCAGGCCGCTGGTCATCGGGCTGTGGGAGTCCTATCAGGCGGGGACCATCAGCAAACGTGAAGTAAGTGGCTCGTCTCGACGGATTGTTATAGATGGCCTGACTCCAATAGTGCTTGCAAACTCTCGACGAATCGCTCTACGCCAATCTGGACGTCACCACCCATGCCCTCTCCTGGAATGTCTTGTTGCTGGCGGAGAATATCGAGGCCCAGAGGGAACTGCGACAGGAAGTCCTCTCCGCACTGGAAAACGAAGCAAGCGAGTCGTATGAGCGGTACATTGACCGGGACGACACTTTTCTGGCTGCCTGTGTGCTGGAGTCTGCACGGTTGCGCCCAATACTGCGTGAGCATACACATACGCCCAGATGGAATGAGCATTCGCTGATGTACATTTGGCAGCATTTTCCAACCCTGAATCGGCGCCCGAGGATCTATACGTGGATGGCTATCTCATTCCGGCCAATGTATGTATCCATCCGTCCGTGGTGTCCAGAGCATGCTGATGATATCATTCAGACCAATGTGATTGTGGACGCTCAGGCGATCAACATCGATAACCCATTTTGGGTCAACGGAACCCAATACAATCCTCGACGTTTCTTCACTCTCAACAAGTCAGACGTATGTGATTCTTGATCAGCATTTAGGTGCGATATTTTCGGCTGACTGACGGTCCTAGGTCCGCCATAATATGTGGCGCTTCGGGTTTGGACCGCGACAGTGCCTCGGCAAGCATATCGGCGAGCGCATGCTCAAGGCCATTGTCGCTGAGATTGTTCGCCAATATGTCGTCTCCATCTCAGCGGACAGCGCTTCAGAGAAGAATCTCATGCAGGAGGATAGCTGGGTGGGATTGCCTGCGACACGGATTCAGTGCGTGCCGGTAGGACGAGAGTAGAGAAGGATTAAAATAGTCGTATAGTAACAAAATGGAATGGTTTCTGGATCTGTCGCTCGTGCTTATGGCCTGGTTCTGCAAGCCCTATCCCGTGTCTGTCTGATAGTCGGTTGCCCGCGGTGTTGATTCCACGCATCCCGTGCTTGAAGAATGGTAGCCGCGAGTCGATTCAAGTCAATCAGCTTCGGATGTCACAGTCAGCCTAGATCACCTTGTAAACTCTTAAGTCTTGTCGAAATCGATGTCTTAATCACATACAAACGATAAGCCCAGGTCGAGTCAAGTCAACGTAGTTCACTGCAGATAAAAGTCTATGTACACAATCAATTCCAGATAGGCCGAAAGTCGATGATACAAGGCCACGCGCGACGAACACGATGCACCTCGTGAAGTCGCCAACCAGCCAACTGTCCCAGCCGTTTCCAGTCCTCAAGCGACCGTTCCTTGCCGTTGCAGGTAATCATCATGATCAGATCGCCGTACCGAGGCAGACGGCCCGATCGACCAGGCGACTTGATCGACTCGACGATCAGGAAGCGACTGACAGGCGACGGCACGATACTCCGTCGCACGTTCTTCAGGATGGTCAGCACATCGTCATCGACCCAGTCGTGCAGACACCATTTCATGGTATATACCGAGGATGGGGGGATCTGCTTGGTGAAATCGCCGACAACGAGCTGCTGCACGCGCGACCCGATATCGCTGAACCGACCCTGCGGCTGGCGGAACTCAGGCGTGATCAGTTCGATGACAGACTTGATATCCATGAGGCTGCCTTGGAGGTTGGGATGAGCGCGCAGCAGCGACGCCAGGAACGCGCCCGACCCGCCACCGATGTCCAGGATGGGCTCTGAGCCAATCTCCTCCCAGGGATAGTCGACGGTCAGGCCGCGGGCTTGCGCGACGGCGCCCGCCCCGAGCGTCTTCTGGAACTTGGCTAGCTTCTGCTCTTTGGCGAGGTACTCGAAGAGGTCGAGTTCGGTGCCATAGGCAATCTGGGCGGCGGTGCGGCTCTCGCCTAGCTTGACGGCCTGCGGCATGGCGCGGCTGACGTCCAAGAACTCGTTCGGGTACAGGTCGGCCCAGAGGTGCCACTGGGTCCAGTGATCGTGGCAGAGAAGAACGGAGGCACGGTTGTTGCTGTAGGTATCGTCGGCGGCGTTGTAGGCGAAGATGCCGTTATTGACGAGCGTGTCCAGCAGCTGAGCAAGCCGCTCAGGCTGAATGCCGCAGCGCAGACCGAGGGTTGATACAGGCTGGGGACCATTTTCTGCCAAACGGTCTGCCACTTGGGCTTCAACGACGGTCCAGAGCGCCTTGCTGTTGAGATAGCCTAGTGGGAAATTGTCAGTATTGAGGCAATGTACCTGTACAACTCTGCTGCTTACCGAAGAAGCCATCCGTCAACAAGGAGACTGAGGGAACAAGCTGCAGCTGAAGCTTGTCCATACTGTCCACCAGATCCAATGCGAGCTGCTCCAGCTCCTTGTCGGGGAGCTGGTCAGGATGGTGAAGCTGCTCATTCAACCAGGACTGAACCTCGGTTGACTCTATAGCGGATTGGACCCGCTGCACATGTGCCTGTAAGTCGCGCAGCTCGTTGACGATGGCTGTGAATCCCTTGCGCGGCGCGGCATTGCCGCTGGGTGTCTCGATTTCTAGGGGACCTGGTGCCATTGCTGTGTCTTTCTTCTTGAAACTGTGCTTAGTCTGTGGGATTGTACACTTGTTGATGGCGAGCCACTCGGATACATATACTCGACTCTCTCGGAGACATTTTTCCTTTTCGGTCTCCGAACTATAATCATGATTCTACTCGGCGACAAACTGGATATATCGATCAAATTGAGATACTGAATGATTGACATGAACCAGAATCTTCCATAGGCGAGAAAAGACAGGATTCTGTAGTCGAAGTAGGGCCCTGAGGCGGGTCAACCCAGGGCCAAGACATCGGGTAACTAGTTGTCAGCCAACAAACCACTACGCCCAAACGGTGTCTAGACAACTATTTCTAGCGTAGTAGAAATGTTTGGCTTATTCTGGTGGGCACTAGTAATCAACCTAGAATAAACGTAAACTCAACCTACGAGTGGACGGATACACTGGTAAGTATAACTGTATTCATAAAACTGTACTACTCTATTTACAGTGGGAAGAGTAAGAATCACGCCTCCAACATTCCATACTCCTTCTCGCCGTGTCCAAAACCAGCGACGCGCTGCCATGCCCGTTTGACGGCCTCCCGCTCACTCATGCGAACCGACCATTCCTGCAGTTTTGGCCATCTCTCAAACTCCAGACCAAACAGTTCTGCCGTGGATTTCATGGCAAAGGGCAAGGTGGCAATGTCCGCAATGGTTGGTCGGTCCTTCAGAGCCAGGTATTGCTGGCCGGGTTCATTGAGGCGACGTTCCAGAATATCATATTGGACCGTAATGTTGCTGCGCAGTCTGTCGCCCATATTAGCTATGTAATTAAAGAGACAAGCCAGAGGTTGGCAGCGGCCTACTTTTCAATAGTTTTAGGCAGCTTCTCCGGGTGAAGCTTATAGAAATACAGCCAGTACTTGGCCGTGGGCCCCAGAGCCGCCGTGTGCAGAGTCAACCAGTTATTGATTTCAGCCCTCTCCTGCACGTTGCGTCCGCCAAAGGTGCCCTCCTTGTCGTAGGCATCGGCAATGTACGTCAGGGTCGAGGTCGATTCCCAGGCGCGGACGGTGTCTTGGCCGTCGGGCGAGCGGTCCATGATGGCGGGCACCATTTTGTGAGGGTTGATCTCGCTGAACCAGGGAGCCGACACCTTTTCGACGACATAGATGTCATGAGGCACTCCGAGCTCCTCGAGCAAGATCAGTGGTTTGACGGTGTTGTGCGTGGAGGTGGCGGTACCTGTAATCAGGTTAACCTATGAGTGGAGGGCTTGAAGGTCAGTTCCACCAGACTCACCTTTCACCACGAAAAGGACCAGTCGGTTTACCACAAGGTCTGATGGGCGTTCGGTCATTTTCACGTGTTTAGAATGATTAGGTAATTGAAATAGGTAGTGAATGTTTAGCAGGCGTAGGGGCAGCAAGGATGTCAGCGGTCCTCTGGCTACCGGTTACCCTATATGTGTAGGCAACAAATAGCCTCCTCTGGCCACCATCCCAAACGCCATCCGATTTTTCGGACGCCGTCGGTGCGTTGAGAAGTAGCTAAAGAGGGTAGAGAGATAATTCCCTGTTCACCCTGTTACTGACGTGCAAGGCGCAGACAACATGGGGAAAGCGACGTTGCAAGACCCTCACGGGGGCATCTGGTACTTTGCCTACGGCTCTAACCTACGCCTATCTGTGCTAGAGAATAGGGGCATTAAAGCGCTGGATATCAAGGCAGTGGTTGTCCCCTCGCACTACCTGACTTTCGACATCTTCGGCATCCCGTACGCGGAGCCTTCGTTTGCGAGCGTCGCCCCTTTTGCACCAGACAAGAAAACAACAATACGACTGGGCGACTCACCCGTTCGTCGCGACGTTCCTCCTGTTCAGGGTCTCGCCTATCTCTTGAATCCGAACGATTACCGCCAGTTAGTCATCAGCGAAGGCGGCGGAGTGGCCTACGACGAGATCGAGGTCCATGCCTCGATCCTCGACGAGGACGGCAAACCGCACCCAAGCAATATCTTGATCGCTCGAACCTTGCAAGCTAAGTATCCCTGGCGACCCAACGGTGCACCCAGTGCGCGCTACCTGGTGAGTTTTGCAAGAAGGAGACTTAGAGTATGATATACTTATGCGAAGAAGGGCCTCATCTCCACAGGATGCAAACAGAATAAGCCGCTCACAGCATACCGCGCCTATGTCGACTCCTTACCGTCGTATGAGCCTCCGACATCCTTGCGCGCGAAGTTGGGAGGTCTTCTTTTCCTACTGTTTTGGCGCCCGCCGCTTCGTGTGTTGATTCGACTCATCAGGGTGCATACCGACAGTGACGGACACTGTCCACAGTGGCTGGGTTGCATAATTCTGACCCTGTATGGGCTGATGTGGTCATATCATGACAACATCCACTCAAAGATCTGGGGGCGAGGCGATGGCCGGAAATTACATTTTGAAGAGACTACGGGGGAGAAACTGCTACAGTTCAGTTAGGCAATAGGCTATTAGCCATAGTGAATATATCTATTTCATTGCATTTTCGGGAGAAACCATACGGAGACATTTGCTATCCTATGCGGTAAATGGAAGCATAAAGAACGAGTGAGTACCTTGGAGAACTCAATAGATACATCTACACTTCATCGTGTTTCTGCATATAGTCATAGTACATTAAAAAGGAGAGAATCTAATAAAACGTGCCATTGGATTGGCTGACGGGCCGACCCATGCCCTAGTTGAGGGTGTTCGGAGACTTAGCGGAGACTTTGCCGCCAAGCCGAATCAGATGGGGTGACGCTGCAAACAGTCCAAGATGAGCAGATTTTCTTCAGAATTAGCAGGGATCTGCATTAGCCAGCCATGTAGGCATTGGAAATGAGAACAGCTGACAATATAAGCGAGTCTAGAAGGGCTTCCTTAGCTAAGATCGCCAACACTAGATGCATGAAAGTCTCCATGTCTCCGATGTCTCTGTAGATATAGATGCGTCGCTGCTGGCTATCCTCCACTGCTTGTACTCATTTCTACAGTCCATCATTAAGTCAATTGAACATCTTTCTGTCACATCAATCATCATGTCTAATACTTCAATCGATGAGTCCAAGCGAGAGCTGGACAGCTCTCCCACCGACTCCATCACGGGCCATGACCCAGCCCCAGAGGAAGAGATGCAGTATCCGTCTGGCTTTGCCCTCAGTGTCATCATGGCCGGCCTGGTGGCTGCCATCTTCCTCATCTCGCTCGACACCACCATCGTCTCCACCGCCATTCCCAGAATCACCGACGAGTTCCACACGGTAGCAGATATCGGGTGGTATGGATCGGCCTTCTTTCTGACGCTGGCCTCCTTCCAAGGCACCTGGGGAAAGATCTACCGCTATTTCCCCCTGAAGCTGAGCTTTATCGCTGCCGTGCTCCTCTTCGAGGTTGGCTCGTTGATCTGCGCCGTCGCCCAAAACTCCGTCACCCTCATCGTCGGTCGAGCCATTGCCGGCGTTGGGGCTGCAGGCATCTCCTCGGGTTCCTACACCATCCTCGCCTTTTCCGTCCACCCAAGACGCCGTGCGGCCATGACAGGCGCCATCGGGGCCAGCTTTGCCGTTGCTGCAGTCGCCGGCCCGCTCATCGGCGGCGCTTTTACGTCCAACACAACCTGGAGATGGTGTTTCTGGATCAATCTGCCCATTGGTGGCGTTTCCGCCGGCCTGATCGCCATCTTCTTCAAGGCACCGGCCCAAGCTCGCGCGAAAAACGTCCCGTACACGGAGATCCTCCTGCAGATGGACCCGTCCGGTATCGTCCTGCTGCTCGGCGCCATCCTCTGCTTCCTGCTGGCCCTGCAGTGGGGTGGATCGGCCAAAGCCTGGGGAAGCGCCGATGTCGTGGGAACTCTGGTCGGGTTTGGCGTGCTACTCATCGCTTTCACGATCAATGAATTCTGGCTTCAGGAGAAGGCGATGATCCCGCCGCGCTTGCTCAAGGGCCAGACCATCCTCTTTTCCTGTCTCTTCACCTTCTTCTTCTCGGGTTCGTTCTACCTGCTGCTATACTACCTGCCGACCTACTTCCAGTCTGTCAAGGGTGCGTCCGCCTCCGATTCCGGTGTGCGCACTCTACCACTCGTCCTTGGCGATGGTCTCTTCGCGACTCTCTCGGGCGCCGCGCTTGGCATGATCGGCTACTACATGCCTCTGTTGACTCTCGGCGGCGTGCTCACAACTATCGCCAGCGGCCTGCTCTACACTCTGGATCTGCACTCCGGCTCAAACGAATGGATCGGATACCAGGCCATGGCCGGCATCGGGGTCGGCCTCGCCATCCAAGTGCCCATGATGGCCAGTCAGGCCGTTGTCGGCGTCGAGGATCTTTCTACAGTCTCGGCCATGATCCTCTTCTTCCAGTGCATGGGCGGCGCCATCTTCGTGCAGGCTGGGCAGGCCGCCTTCACCAACAAACTGGTCCAGGAGGTGCAGCGCCATCTGCCGAACATCAGTGCTGCGCTCGTAACCTCGACGGGTGCCACCGAGCTGCAGTCCACGTTTCACGGCCATGAGCTACAGGTCATTCTTGAGGCGTATGTGTCTGGTCTGCAGGATGCATTTATTGTGTCGATTGTCTTGGCGGGCATTGCGACCCTACTCTCTTTTGGTTCGGGTTGGAAGAGTGTGAAGAGCAAGAAGGAGGAGCCCAAGGCTCAGCCTTGATGTGAATCTTACTAGACACGTCTCTGCTTCGTTCTTGAGGGTCAAGGATGATAAATAGTGGTTTGCATGCCAGTTGTTGTGTACTTATGATTTTTGAGTTTCGACCTCCATAGGTGTATCATCTTCTACGGCTTGTTTACGGCAATGGATAGTATTTGTTTTGTGCATATTAGGTTTTCTCTGCTACTTTCATCTCCTATTAGCTAGAGATCATTGTCTAGACACCGTTTTAGCTGAGCGGTCTGGTATATGACAGTATTTATTTACAACCTGTTCAATTCAAGCCCAGACTCCATTCAAATGAGCGCCTCATGTGCTTTGACAAAGGACGCAAACCAAACTTCAAAGCATTCTCAAACCACTGACAAAGAAACATCTTAAGAAACGTCAAATTTACAGGTCTGAAATGATGTCTTGTAGAGTACTCATAGCACCATTGATTGATATCCTAGTCTTGTTACTTCAACAACCGCGAGAGCAGTCCGCCTAAGGCCGACGACCCCAAACCGTGTTAAACCGGAGGATCCCCCCAACCGTCTCAAACTCGACCTTGATATCCCTCAGGATCGGGTCAAAGTCCTCAGCTTTAATACCCGTGCCATCCGGAAGACCTGCACAGGTTAGCCTCATCTTGACAAAAGCAACGACAAAAGCAAGGCAAAGCACTTACGCGTCGCAGCCGTCCGGAAGTTAGACACCACCTCCAGCATATTCTGCTTGGCCATCTCTCCGAGCTTAGGATCCTTGTTGCCCGCTCCGATCGGAATTTCCATGACCTTCTCCTGCACTTCCTCCAGCCCATACTCCTCCAGCCACTGGCGCACCAGCTTCCCGGGCCTTGGGTTCCACCGGAAATGAGGCAGCATTTCAGCAACCAGGGTCTGGAAGCGCGCCAGAACGGGGTATTGCTTGCGCTGCTCGGGGGTCAGATGCTCGAGGCTGCCCTCGGTGAATTGTACCCAGCCGGTGCCTGGCTTGGCGAGCTCGATGAGTCTGTAGAGGGCCTGGCGGCCTTCGTCTGGGGGAAGGCATGCGATGACCAGTTTCTGGTGGACGAGGTCGAAGGAGTCGCGCCATTCGGTGGGCCAGGGGTCGGAGATGGATTGGACGTGGAATTCTGTGTTGGGTGGGGGGTTGGCTGGGAAGGCAGTTGGGGAGACGTCGGCGCCGATTAAGGTGGGGGATTTGAGGAGAGTAGAGGCATCTTCTAGCCAGAGGCCTGCGCAGTATTAGTCTAGAGGTAGTATAACACTGAGGAAGTGGGTTGGACTTACCGTTGAAGGTCCCGCTGTCCAAGACTCGGAGATTGGGTGTGTCAAAAGGCAGAGGAGCCAAGATGAGCTTGCCCATGTAGGTCTTGATCAGGTCATGTTGCATGTTCATTCGTCGCTTCTCCTGATCCTCATAGTTGAGGAGGTAGCCGTTCTCAGAGTCGGGGAGGACAGTCATGGTGGCGGTTTGCAGTTATCTGGTCAAGGACAATGGTGAGTGTTGGACAGGTCCTAGATGAATGTTGCCTTTCAACACGGCGTACAAGGACTACATAGGTATATATAGACCATGGATGCGTTCATCAGACATGTCGAACACTCCACCCGTTTCGGAGACCGAAATCGAGAAATTTTGGTGACCGCAGGGGTCTCGGCTTTGCTCATGCCATTTGTGAATGCATTGGACCTTACGATCGGCGTAGTAGCACTCGGGGTCTCATGTCGGCCGATGAAGCTGTAGACTAGGGCCAGGCTTACAATGGAAATTAATCATGACACATCTGGTATCAAAGCTTGCTTCAAAGTATACTCCGGACACATTTTGTTCTAATTTTATGTCATTTCAGTGTAAAGTAGCGCTCTAACCTCATTTTCAAAGCGAATCAAGTAATCCCAACACTACGACAGAATAAACACCTCGCTAAATCTAGAATCTCGGCCGGAATTCAACCTCGGCTTCAGCATCAGGGAAAATAGCCAATCCACCATACTTTGGCGTCGGACGAGGACGTCCCTCGACCAGCCGTAGATCATAGTGACGAATGACATACGCCACAACCACCTTAATCTCGGCGCTAGCAAAGAACCGCCCCGGACAAGCCCAGATCCCATGGCCAAAATTGATGTTGTCGGCCCCTGTGGAGGTATGCTGCCACTTGTTCTCATTGGCCCCTCCCTGCTGGCGCAGACGAGCAAAGCGAAAGGCATCGAACCGCTCGGGATTGGGGTACAGAGTGGCATTCTGGTTGATGGGCTGCGCGCGCACCATTACCAGGTATCCGGGGGGAACCACATGGCCGGTCTTCAGTCGGAGCCCGTTGGGATCGGTGACTACCCGGGGGATGTTGACCAGAGAGGTTGGGCTCATACGCTGTGATTCACGCACGAAGCTGTCCAGCTTCATCAGTCGCGGGAGGGTAGTCTTGTCAATGCGCTCGGCGCCGACGTTGGGGCCCAGAACCTGGTCGAGTTCCTCGCGTAGTTCGTCAACGACGGCCGGGTACGCGGCCAGGTCGAAAATGACATATGTCAGGGCATTGGACAGGTTGTAGATTGAGGCAAAGGTGGCCAGCAGTTGATCGCGCGTGAGCTGCTGGGCCGTGGCAGTTTTGCCCTGGGCCTGGTACCGCGACTTGAACCAGTCGATCATATCGCCGCCGGGGATCTTTTCCTTCGCGGGCGACAGCTTCTGCGCTTCTTGATCGGCAAGGAGCTGGGCGATCTTGCGTCCGATGAGCGCCTTGTTCCGCTCGAGGGTCTTGACCTCGCGCAGGAACGGCGCCACCAGCGGTCGGATCCAGTGCGGGTAGAAGCGCAAGACCATCCAGGCGCGCGAAACGTCCTGGGTGTAGTTGACGTTGGACTCGATCCAGTCTTGTTCTCGACTGAGTGGCAGCCCGACAAAGGCGCGACCGGACAGGATCGTGGCCACCCTTGGCATGATCGATCGCGGCTTCAGTCGGGTCCAGGTGTTGGGCGCGAGCTGGAGCACGGTCGACATGGCGTAGTCGATCTCGGCTGTAAACGAGGCCAACACGGCTGGAGTGTTGCGGACCAGGAGATATCTCATTGCGTCGTCGAATTCATCGGCCTTAGTGCCCATATACGAGTATTCGCCGAGGAACTGGTTGTAATGGTGCTTCTTAATAGAGAGCTGGTTCTCCGGCAGTGCTTTGACAGTGTCGATTTCAGAGACGGGAAGAACAACTAATTGTTGTCCTGGCACTCCCAGTGCGAACGGAGTATCTGGATACTGGTACTGTGAGCTTGTGAGGACGACCGGTTGTCGTTGTGGGGAGTACCTTGGCATGACCCTCCTCCAGTGTTTTCACAATGTCTTGATCACCAACACTTTGCAGAACCGGCAAATCCAGCGCCTTCAGACTCTTTGTCTTTTGCAAAATTAGTCGGTATACCCAGTATAGCAGGCCAACGCCAAAAGAGACTGCGACTGCAGTTCGCAGGGGCTGGTGGAGGTAGACTGTGTCCATGGCGTGTGCTTCGAATCTCGTCTCTCTTTGGTTCAAGCGAGGTTCAATTCGATTATCAGGTGAGCTCCCATGAACTATATGTAATTCTATTTGATTCATTCGAATATGGCGCAACCTGCGTCTTATACATCACTTGCCTGGCGATTGGCCCACCCCGCGGAAACATTTTTCGGCTGCCGACAAAAGTTTCCGAGCCAATCTCAGGTATATAGACTGACACGCAACCTCATCGTTGATCCAAAAATTTTAGATTTTCTTTTAATTTTTTTTTCTCTGCGTAATCTCTCCTATACAATTACTATCTCACAATACCACAGACATGTCGATCGGCAAACTACTAGCCAACGGAGCGCTCCTCGTCGACGTGCTCATCATCGGCGCAGGTCCGTCTGGTCTTTCGACAGCAACCGGCCTGGCTCGCCAGCTGCACACGGCAGTCGTCTTCGACTCTGGCGTGTACCGCAATGCAAAGACCCAACACATGCACAACGTCCTCGGATGGGACCACCGCAACCCCGCCGAGCTGCGCGCCGCAGGTCGCGCCGACTTGACCAACCGCTACTCGACCATCCAATTCCAGAACAGCACCATCGAGGCGATCAGGCAGATCGAGAGCCACCAGCTGTTCGAGGCGCGCGACACCGAAGGCCACAGCTGGTATGGCCGCAAGGTCGTGCTGGCGACCGGCGTCCGAGACATCCCCCTCGACATTGAGGGATACTCAGAGTGCTGGGCGAACGGCATCTACCACTGTCTCTTCTGCGACGGCTACGAGGAACGCGGCCAGAAGACTGCGGGAGTCCTCGCTCTGGGGCCCATCGCGAACCCTCCGCGCGCTTTGCATTTGGCTCGCATGGCCCGGCGGCTCTCCGAGTCGGTCACGGTCTATACCAACGGCAATGAGCAGCTGGCGAAAGAGATTCAGCAGGCTGCAGAGACATCCCCTGCCGGCGCCTCGGGGCTGAAATTCGATGCTCGACCCATCAAGCGATTCGAAAAGGGAGATGTTGCCACGACCGTCATTGTTCATTTTGGCGAGAGCGGCGAGTCAAAGACAGAAGGCTTTTTGGTCAGTGTTTACCCAGTTGACGCAGAAAGAGATCTCTGCTAACCGCACTGCAGGTGTACAACCCCGCAACAGAAGTGAATGGACCGTTTGCCAAGCAGCTCGCCTTGAACATGACAGAAGGAGGTGATATCCTGACCACGCCTCCCTTCTATGAGACCAGTGTGCCCGGAGTATTCGCAGTGGGGGATTGTGCCACACCGTTGAAAGCTGTCACCCCCGCGGTATCAATGGGATCTTTGGCTGCTGGTGGTCTGGTTGCTCAGCTGCAGGCTCAGCCATTGCCGGAGTTTCGTCTCGATCAGGAACTGTAGGAGCATGTTATAGAGTTGTACATAGTTTCTAGCTTTGTGAGGTTCAATCAAACCAAGTGACTTTCCTATTTCCTGCAGTAGCTTGAGCCTAGTGAGCTGTCCTTCTGAAAGAGATTCGTAACAAACTTGATGAGAATGAAAGATGCATCGAAAAAAGTCGCTCAGGTCCACGGTGGTGACCTGAGACTCGATGCTAAAATAGCTCGCCATGGAAAGCTTCATATCACGCCGACGGTACAGAAATCGGCGACCGAAACTGCGGCGTTACTCAGACAGACATCCCATATATGATAATATAATGCCCCCAGAATGCGGACAAATCCTCAATGACAGCAACTATCACCATGGCGAACTCAACCCCCCTTTTCGAATACAACATCTCCTTCACGGTCCCCGCCAACCCGCCGTCGTGTGAGCCCAAGCTCACCGCAAAGGATCTCTGGACCGGCATCGCCCGGGTGGCAGATGCACCCCAGGAATATGCGCCCTACGTATCCAAGTGCGAGGTGCTCTCGCGCAACGGCCACGCCCTGGAGCGGAAACTGACCATGGCAAACGGGGCGGTCCACAAAAGCAACGGGGAGATTATGTATCAAGACGTGTGGATTGCAGACCGTCTACTGGTAGCTATGTCCTTTGAGAGTTCGCCTCTGTGCAGTTGCTGACCTGCCCAGGTGGAAGCAAGAACCAAGGATACCGGCGCAAAGACTACATTCCTGCTATCGTACCACGACACAGCAACCGTCAGCCCCGACTCGACGGACATCAGCTTTACCGTGATTTATGAGTTGAAGTTGGCCGGAATCGAGCCCGGAAGTGCCGAGGCTGAGCGCATTCAGGCGGAATACCCCGAGCTGACGCGAAAGGCTTGCACATCGACGGTGGAGCAGATTCGGGAACGAAAGAAGAATGGACAATTGGATGCCTGGGCTCAGGCTGCTGAAGTCCCTGCCTGGTGATTAGACGGGTGAACATTGATGGGCTTGTTTCACGATAGGCTATCTGGCATCTCAATCATCTGAAAATAGTCTGGAAAGTGTAATCCAAGGCCTGTGCAGATCATCGTCATATCATATGCCCTTCACGAGTATAGCATACTTACGTCTGTAGAGACCGATTCTAATATTTCTACACCGCTGAATGGGGCGCCTATAAGGTGAATGTTTGAGTACCTCGTCAAAAAAAAAAAAAAAAAAAAAAAAAAAAAAAGAGTTCAGAATAGCTCCATTGCAGTAGCTTGCTTACAGCCTATCTCAAGAATAAATTCATCTCTTGTGCATCATGGTGATTTATATGAAAGTCGTGGGCTGCAAATAACGTCTAGCTACCTTGATGATACTGCCTTGAGTACAGCCGATAAATAAATAAGGACTATACAGTGAGTAGAATAGAATGAACAGCACCCACTGACCCATATGGACTTGTATACCAGCTAAATAGTTGTTGATATATGGCAGAAGACACGTACCACAATTTTATGCCGCGGAAAAGGACAGGAAGCAATTGTGTCGGTGTTCCTTGATAAAGATTGTGCTCCAAATTGTCGTGATCACCAAGTGAACTCTAAACGCCTTGTATAGCGGCAACT